CGGCCTCATCAGGCGCTCCTCCTGCTCCTCCGGCTCCTCCTGCACCTCCTGCGTCTTCCGGATCTCCTCCGCCTCCGCCTCCGCCTCCCCCGGCACCACCCGCCAGCTCCGGTGGCGGTGGCGGCGGTGCTTCTCCAGCACCTCCTGCCTCAACTCACCCTTCGCCCGGCAACCCAACTACATCCGCTGCTCCGCCGCCACCGCAAACTTCCGGTCCATCTCCCACTAAGCCCACCAGCTCGGGTGGCTCTGGCGGCGGCGGCAGCGGTGGTGGTGGTGGCGGTGGTGGCTCCCCACCCCCGACCGCTACCACCAGCCCTGGTCCTATCGTCACTGCTGGCGCTTCGGTCGAGCGCGCTCATCACGCTGGTGGTGCGTTGGCTGTTATTGCTGTCTTTGCTGCCCTTTTTTAAGGGATGAGGATTATGTTGTTATGAACTGGAAATAGTGAGGAGGGGTATACAGTAATGAGAAAACTTTGATTTTAGTCAGGAAGAGCAACGATGGGACGGTTTTTGGAAAAAAAAGAGTATTTAGAGCAGATTCTTCTTCTTGGTTTAATGGGCGGGTTGGACTACTTGGTGGCTTACAGAGATAAGATACCGCTGAGAGACCGTTGAAAGACCATTGCGTTTTGAGGAAGCAAGGAATTGGTTAGGACGGGGGAGCTACTTCTAATGATCGATAACTTCTTTTTCTCTTATGGCCTCCGATGGAGGTAAAAAGTTTAATACACATTTTCGTTTATCATATACTCTCTCATGGTCGTCTCTGGTGTTCTTTGGCCATACCTCCACATTATACCAGCTCGATGTAAACTACGGGTTCATTTAGTTTCTGTAATGCAATATCCCCAATGAAGTAACTCTGAGGCGCTCCTTACTCGCCCTTCATCAAGCAATGCTCACCCATTGAGAAACCACCACACTTATTCAGGATTTCAGACCGCCCAGACCTTCCCATACCGCCCAGACTCTGGAACATCACTCATTCGCCAACCCACGCTCACCCAAAAGAACATACCACAACCACAACAGATACGTCAACGTCGTGCGCTGGTCGTCCTAGTACTAACTGAGATGGATACCCGCCTTCAAACCACGCTCTGTCCTACATCCACCATCCACCATCCATCCATTCACTCATACACAACGTCACGCTCCCCTCTATACGCCCCTACAATTCGTATCACAATGCCGAGTACATCCAATCGTCCTCGCCCCACACTCACCCTCATTCAGGCAAAATAGCGTCGTACCATGCACCGTCGTGCGTCGTGTCCCCTTCCACCACCGGGCCGAGCCTTTCCGCATTTACTTTCGATCTGCGAGTCTGTAACTGTGCAGCTCTGTAACTTGAGGAATATGAGGGCAAATGAATAAGGATGGGTGCATTAGGACTCGTGATTTTGGAAGATGGAAGGGTACCTACCTATGCACATATGCACAGGCTGTTGAAGTCTTTAGGGATTGAGCAGGGGTGGGGTACAAGCTATGCCGTGGCAGGTGGACTGAGGGACGACTTTTGCCGATGTACCCCGGACTTCGAGCTGGCCTGGGAAGAGTGCAAGGTTAATTCTAATGCTGGTGTTCGAAATCGGGATGAGTCATGATCGGAATGATGATTATAAAATCAAGTACCTATCTATGGTATACGACAAAAGTCAAATGGAAGGGTTGTTATCGGTGAGAAACAGCGGATAATGAGACAAGGAACGATTGCCTACCTAAAGGTATTCATATAGCCTACGGGTCAAGATCAATACAACCTGGTAAATTCTGGTTGGTTGGTTGAACAGTCATCATCATCACATATCTATAGCTAGAGGTACTCAACCACAACAACAACACGTCGAGAGAAAGAAGACCAACGCATAGTTCCCGTCAAGTTCCAACCATATTCCTTTGGAGACATGACCACCCCACTGATACTCTTTCCACTCTTCCCATTCCCACTCCCGTACCCGTACCCGTACCGCACCCTTCTTCCCCTCAACCTCCTCCGAAGCAGCCTGTAGCAGCCCTGTTCCCAAACAGGAACACTTAGCAAACCGAGATGATGCATCCCCTAGAACCAAAAAAAAAAACCAAAAAAAACAGGTTCAGATCTACACAAGAAAAACCATCCCTATGCACCCCCTCCCCGACACAAAGGGTGCTGCTTCCTGCCCCCTCCTCACCCTTTTACCCCTTAACCGTCATGCGGACCCGGCGTAGGTGGGGGTGGATCAGGGGGATGTCTGTAGCCGGACAAAGAAAGCGGCAAGGCGTATTTCATGGCGGCACCCTTCTCGTAGTCTTCTTGAGCGGATAACATGTCGTGACTCGTGAGTCACTGGCGGCGGACTGGAGATCACCTAAAATTGTTTGTTAGTGACTAGGTACTCAGGTGGTATTTTTCTAGTCATTGTGGGTGATCGATGGGGGCTAAGCTTACTCCGAAATTTCCGCCGCTTCTGAGGACAGCCACTACCTAGAGGTAGGTAGTTTACCTGTCTAACGATAAGGTTGGGGGTGAGACGCTTGATACTTTCCGCATGTGTGCGAAATAGGTCAGGTCTTCGGGGTTTGAAGACAAGGTGATGGCGTTGATGTACTGAGGGGAGAAACTGGATGAGGAAAGGTCAGGGGGTGGTATCTATGCTCCCTTTATGTGTCCCTCTTCAGAGACTGCTTCCCATGGTGTGGGTGCGCTGACGGACACTGACTAATGGGTGAGACGAGGGGAGGAAGAGGAGCGACTGGACTGGACTCGACTTGAGTTAGGTAGCCTCCTTGGAGACGAAAGTGAAGCGTCAGCACACACTTGGGCCGACCGGTTGCCAGATACCATCCGATGTCGCTCGATTGAACGCCTCACATAAGCACCATGTCCATGCTCGCACACAAGGCACCCAACCAGAAGACCCGTGAAGGGAGGGGTAATTCATGAAGGGTGTGCCGACCTCAAGACTTTCCAGCCGGTGCCTACACATGAGCATCAAATGACCCAACATTTATGGAACTTGGTGGTTGCAACCTGAAATCGTTCTCGTTCAGTGGAACTCTCAGCCGGAATGGTGGTGGTGGAATGCTGGCTTTCAGTGGTGTGTCTTTGAGAATGCGGCGTCCAAAATAGAAATGATTATACGGATGAATAATTATACGGATGAGTAGTTAAAGTGGCGATCAATGACTGGCTTAGTCAGAAGTGCAATTCAAAAGAGAACAACCTATAAAGCCCTGGGTCGTGCCCGACCGCTCCAGCAGGCTGGAACCTGGATTCGTGCATGTGAGGCATCACATGGGAGTATCATGGACATGAAGCCGGTGGGAAACCGCCACTACCTACCTTACACCAGATTGAAAGCCCGGACATCAACTCCCCGGGCTCTCAGAGCATCGGGCTCCATCCGCGGGTCATGGCTGATCGTCTCGCCAGTCAGCTTGTTCCTGAAACGCTGGAAAACCACTGGATCATCGGCCGTCCTTTTGATACCATCCAGTCGCTCCCATATGCCTTCCAACTCTAGGGAAGGTAGTCTTGGATCCTCATCCGATAGCTCGTTGGCGTCAGGGTTGAAGAACCGATATGTGCCCCAAAAGCCGGACTCGTTCTGAAGCACCTGAACACGCCATGGCTTGGGTAATGGGCCTAATATGCCAATCACGTCATGAAGACCGTACACGTAGATTGGGCCAACGTACAGAAACTCTTCTGCGTGTCTTGAGCTGCTTGATTGTGGTCGCGGTCGTAGGACGGCAGGGGTGCAAAGACCTAGGAGGACGCAGATGATGTCGCCTGCAGTGTGAATGCTCGTCAGTAGAGGTGGGGTTGTTGATATGTGTGGAAATCCATTACTCACCTGGTTGAATATCAGGGGGTCCATGACCTACATACCCTTCCTCCGTCACCACATAACGCCGGTTCATGAGGCGCTCCAGAACAGTGTGTTCGAACCAAGGGAGGGTTGATTCTTCACTGGTGACGAAATCCACCACAGCGGAACTGCCCAGGCGTGTGCCGTCGCCGAATAAAGCATAGGCGGAGTTCTGTTGAAGCCAGGTGGTCAAGCTAGGGGAGTGCGACTCGTCCGCACCAGGAAATCTCTCGCGAAGACGGTCGCCACACAACGTCTTGGCAAACGCGACCTTGAAGGGCTCTCCAGTAACGTATGTCTCTGTGTTGTTCGCAGCCAACTCGTCAGATGCCAAGTTCCTGACACTGCAGACTAAATCATCAACCTGTTCTGGAAACTTTGACGAGACAGATTTGACCGAGGCGCACCGGAGTCCGAGCACCACCAAGGTCCTTGTTCTTGCGCCGTCCGAGTGTGGCGGTGACCACCGCTCCGAGTTGCCAGTCGCTTCCGTGTCGGGCAGGTGGTAACGTGAAAACCCGGCGGCAAACTGATATCTCATCATCGGAGGGAGCGAAGAATCGGACATATCTGGAACCCAAGACGGAAACAAGTCCCTCAAGTTTGCCGACTTTGTCAAATGACAGTGGTGCAAGAGTTCCAGACGCTGGACATGCCGAGCGTGGGCAAGGAAGGTCTTTCTAAAAACGTCGCCGACCGTCATCTTGTAGTCGGGGCGAATCTTGTTGCGAAAGGCTGGGGTAAGCAGCCCAAGTAAGCCATAGACACGGTCTCGCGGGTCCGAGTACCTGGTCTTGCTCAGCTGAAACATGAGATCGGAAAGAGGTACGGCTCCGCTCTCTGGTTGCACGAGGTTGTTGACGACGGAAAGGACGGGGCGAGAAAGCGAATGGGGAAGGCTTTCCTTCTGATACAGGTTCCGGATCGCATAGCGGAAGTAGAGCCAGTCAATGGACGTATCGCCGCAGCACAGGACAGCGCCCCTTGCGAGTTTAATCTCCTGTACAATCCATTGACGGTAGAACCACTCGCGGCATAAGAGGTCATTGATGGCAGTCCACGTCTCGTGAGGGTAGGCTCGGACCACGTTGGTTTTTTTCAAATACCAGTCTGGCTCGGTGGCTTCCGGTGTCATGAGCTTCCAGTCGTTTAACGTGGAGACGGACTGTTTTCCGAGATATTCAAGGGCCTGTAGGGCGCGTGTGCTGTTCTCGGTTTCTGCACCGAGCCAGAAAACAACTTTTTCCGCCAGCTTGAAGATATCGCACATGCGCTGGACCTGAGCATTTCTCTCGTCGGTATCAGATTGGTTTATGCACAGGGCGTCTATCCAAAGCATGCGTTTCTCCGTTCGATTACGTAGATGCCGCATGGCTGACGCAAGATTGTGGCCAACCTGGAGGCAGCTGTAGCTTCGAGGCGGAATCGATCCTTTGGTGAACTGCTGTGCTGTCGAGGCGGTGGATGTGTCCTGTTCCTGGTCATGGATACCCGTCCAGATATAGATCGTCTCTGGTTTCCCTCCTGCCGCATTGCGCCAGGTATATGAAAGGGCTTCATAGCTGGGCTCGAAATTGGCACGCTTTGGGTTTTGGTAGAGGGCATGGTTGAACGATGGGTCGGGGTGAGTCCATGTAAACCGCTCCACGGCTGATCCGTCATCTCCCCAAAAGATATACTGGCCGTCCCAAGCCTCAAACGCCGCCCAGCCGGGAGGTAGGGTTGCGGCAACCTGTTCCAATGACATCCTCTCCGGGTGGAGCGACACAGATGACATGGGCGCGGGAAGCGGGACATGGGAGATATCGATGACTATATCATGGTCGTGTTCGCCAGGGAGAAGGGCGACGAGACGGATGTCATTGGGGTTCTCGAGTTTCTGATAAGTGTAGAGGTAATCCTTGGACTCCTTGGGACTCCCGGCCCCGGGCCAAACATCCGCCATCAAGGGAATGTAAGAACTCTTGTCAGTAAGTACCTGATTGTCAAGGTAGGGCGATGAGCGGGTTTGCCCGAATCTTTCTTGTATGTTCTGAATAGAGAGGCGCTGTCGAGAGCAAAGAGGGGAGTTGGCCAGAGGAAGAAACTTGGAAAATTCCACTCCAACAGATTCACTTTGGATTGTACGTGTATCTGCCCAAAGCCTATGTGGAATGGCAGAACACACCTTCCTAGTTAATGTTTTTCGGAGATTGCGAGGTGCCCCCCTCAGCCCGTCCGGCAGGCGCAAGGCTCCAGGCTCCAGCTTCCCCGCCCTCTTTCCCAAGTCCTACCTCGGCTGCAACTGACCTAGTACCTGCTGAGGTTCTGAGCAAAACCCAATTGCGTGTAGGAAAAAAACAAAAACAAAAAAAACAACGAAACGCAGCTTAACTAAAGCCACGGGCATACCGGTGGTATTTCACGATTTGTGTCGCTCCCAAGTAAGGTTGACTACTAGTAATAAGCTCACGAATACTATGCTGGAATAACTTGAAAGGATAATACTCAACTGACCTTGAGCCTGAGATTTGTGTTGGTTGGTGTTCGGCAGCAATGACTGATATGAATCCACCATCTTTGACCAAGTAAAACGTATAACGGTGTCTATCCCGGGAGTTGATTAATCTGATCCCTCCCCGTCTCCCAACTCTACCCAAGCGCCTCATCAAACATATCAACCCTTCGTCCCAGACCTTAATCTTCTAACAACATCCTCCACCCGCTTCGCTTGCCCAACCAACTCCCTAACCACCTCTCTATCCCTGCCACTCCCACCTCCTTGCCCTCCGCTACCATTGAGCGCAACGACCTGTACTATCTCCCCATCATCGCCCATGACCAGCCTTCCCGTCTGGCCATCTTCCCATTCGATAGTGATTTGCTTCGCTTCGGCGTCGGCCGGGGTGACGTTTTGGATTTTATTTGTCTCCGACTCGGCCTCAGCGAGGATAGCCTTCCGTAGGTCTGTGATAGTTGCAAGACGGTGATGATACCTCACCAACTCCCTTCGTAGTCGTCTCGCAAACTTGACCAGATCTTGTTCCCTTCCTTGTTCGTCAGGTCGTGCTGGCGGTGCTGGCAGGTAGCGCGCTGCTAGCCCTGAGAGAGGAACGCAAGGAGGAATGGTGTGTCTATGCACCCTTAGCCAGTTGGCATACTTCCCCTTTTTGCCCCTGCTTTTCTCTTTGCCGTTTTCCTTGCCACCGTTCCCAGTCCCCTTCCCATTTTCTTTGCGACTGCCCGCCGCAAAAGGCCTATTCATCAAAACATAATAAGGCCTCGCAAACCTCCCCCTTGCAAAAACCTCTATCCTCAGTCCAAGTACGGCTCCGCCGTCTACCGCGTTCGGATCAGGGTCTTGCACGCGGAAGGTGGTGATGGTGGCGCAAGTCCGGTAGAGCGATTGTTGGTTATGAGCCTTTTGGAGGGAAGCATAGTGGCGGAGGGATTTGAGGATTGTTGGGGTGATGCCTTTTGGTTTGAGCTGGGAAGAAGAAGGTGGGTTGGAGAGGAGGGAGGTGGTGGATGGGGAGGAGAGGATGGTTGATGTTTGGATCCGGAGGTTGGATTTCAGGGTTGTGACTATGCGGTGTGTTAGAAAGCTGGAATAAAAGAGGAGGGGAGTTGGCTTACTTTTGGATTTGAGAGACTCGATCTCAATGTCCAGTGGTGAGGGTGTTGGTGAGGACATGGTGACTTGTGTGGGACCCACTTTAATAGTGAGAAGGTGAGCGTGGACGCGTCTTTGTTGATGTGCGCGATGTAAATAATCGTGCGCAGATATAACCAAAGAAATAGGGTCAAAGACAACAGAGTCGGGGTATAATAACGTGGAAAATGGACTTGTTTGAAACCTTGTATCCTGAAGCTGCAACTCGATTGTTTACTTTGGTGGAGTTGATGCGAATCAATCCCCTGCTGGCGATTGAAGTTCAGGGGATGAAGCCGCCAGGTGCAACAGTCACCAAGCTTTGTGGGGCGGCAGCTGTCAAAGTGGAAGCTAGCGATCTGCCCCTGGATTCCATGCCAATGACGCACTAGCGCAGTTCCTGCATCAAAGACAGCAAGCTGTTCCACAGGAAGGAAGCTGGACAACAGTGCAATTGACCTTTTTTGACACTGAAACCCGCAAGTCATTCGTTACCTTCGTTAACAGACATTTCAGTTCTTTCCTCATTCCTCAAGTCAGAGGTTGAGCCTCACAGTCCTTTCAATTCCCCAAATTGTTTGCTTCCACACGGCACATCAACAATCTCAAACATTCATCTCTAGCGTCGTGTTAGAGGTTATTTGCCACCAGGGCAGCCAACCGAGAGGCCACGGTAGCACCTTTTCTCCCCCACGATACCACATCTTCCTTCCAGCGTCTCAACGTTCCATTCCACAGCGACGACAACACCAAGAGACAGGCACTAGAGTTAGCGCTGTTCGTTAGGGCAGTTGGTCTGATAGGGCAAAGGTCAAGCTTTAATCTGACAAAGAGGCCAGAGACACACCCTTGTCTCTTTCGTCCCTGGTCAACAATCCTTCTCGACCACTCTCGTCCGGACTATTCGACTCCGCTACTACCGACTTCTCGTCTTTCGTTAATCTCTTCTTCTTCTTGTTGTCTCTTTGGCGACCGCTATTTCTGGAAAACTATCCCTCGCTTCCATTTAGGGAGCGTCTGTTGATCATCACTCACCCCGAGACGACGGCCCCGACCACTCACCACACGCGCCGCCATCACACAAGGCTTTGACCTTTTCGAGTAACCCACGAAACGGGACCTCCCTCTACACACGCACACACGAAACCACCCACCAAGACATACACAAGCACAGTGGTACCTATGGGTACTAAAACTCGTGGCACAAAGTCGCCGACACAGAACGGGCTGTCCTGCAAAGCCTCCAAGAAAGGGGCCGGGAAGAAGGGCAACAACAACAAGACCAAAGACTCGGACTCGGACTCGGACCCTGACACGGTCGCCTCGGGCCTCCACAAGATGAACAACAACATCGAGCTCATGCGCCGGAACAAGAGCTACGACACCTCGTCCGAAGCCATCACCGCCAACATCATCGGCAGGGAAACCTTCTCCCTTGACGACCCCGTCCCAGACAAGACAGACGCCGCCGTAAACAACCATGGGTTCTTCGAGCTTCCCAAGCAGGACCAGCGCAACTTTGGCCTGCTCGTCCTCCTATACTTCTTGCAGGGTGTTCCGCTAGGATTGGCTACGGGCTCGGTACCCTTCCTCCTCAAGAAGAAACTGTCCTATGCCGAGATTGGCGTCTTCAGCTTGGCGTCCTACCCCTACTCCCTCAAGCTGCTATGGAGTCCCATTGTCGATGCGATTTGGAGTCCCAAGGTGGGAAGGAGAAAGAGCTGGATTCTGCCTATCCAATTGCTATCCGGAATCGGCATGCTGTATCTCGGCTCTAGAGTAGGAGGACTGATGGATTCCATGGGCAAGGAAGGCGGTCCTACGGTCTGGAGCTTTACCTGGTGGTGGTTCTTCCTCGTGCTCATGTGCGCCACCCAGGATATTGCCGTTGATGGCTGGGCCCTGACGCTTTTGACACCTGGCAATGTCTCGTACGCTTCCACCGCGCAGACGGTCGGCTTAACTGCTGGCCAGTTCCTGTCATATACCGTCTTCTTGGCCTTCCATTCCAAGGAGTTTGCCAACCGTTGGTTCCGCACTGAGCCGCTTGACCACGGTTTGATGGATTTGGGCGGATACCTTACCTTCTGGGGCTGGGCTTACATTGCTGTGACCATCGGCTTGGGTCTCATAAAGCGCGAGGAGCGTACCAAGAACGAGGATGGTGTCTGGGACGTCTACAAGATCATGTGGGGCGTGCTCAACCTCAAGAACGTCCAGACCATCATCATCATCCATCTCATCGCCAAGATCGGCTTCCAGGCCAACGATGCCGTCACCAACCTCAAACTGCTTGACAAGGGATTCGGTACCGAGAACATGGCTCTCACTGTTCTGATCGACTTCCCCTTCGAGATCGGTCTGGGTTACTATGCAGGAAAGTGGTCGCAGGAGTTCACGCCCATGCGTCTCTGGTGCTGGGGCTTCATGGGCCGTCTGGTGGCTGCTGTTCTCGCGCAGTTCACTGTGGTCATCTTCCCTGCTGAGGGTGTTACCTCTTGGTACATGCTTGTTGTCATTGCCGAGCACATCTTTTCCACTTTTACCAACACCATCATGTTTGTCGCCGTCTCTGCCTTCCATGCGCGGATTTCGGACCCGGTCATTGGCGGTACATACATGACCTTGCTTGCTACGTGAGTTTCCTTTCCCATAGTACCCTTGAGAGTGTATGCTAACGTGCATTCTTCCAGTGTCTGCAATCTAGGCGGTACCTTCCCCCGCTTCTTCGTTCTTCGTCTAGTCGACTACTTCACCACCGCCACGTGCGTTCCTACTTCCAAGACGGCCACTTTCAGCCAGCCCTTCAGCTGCGCCATCCAGGAGGACAAGACCAGGTGCCTTGCCGACGGCGGTACTTGCAATATGATCCAGGACGGATACTACATTGTCAATATGCTTTGTGTGGCGGTTGGAGTGGTGACGTTCACCATGTTCATCCGTCCCAAGGTCATTCACTTGCAAGATCTCCCGCTCAAGGCGTGGCGGTTGGCGTCGTCGGGTGTGGGAGCTAGCAAGCGGTGATTTTGGACGTTCGATTCAAACCCGAGTATTGTGTTGGAATGTGAGGACAAGTCAGGAGCATGTTGATGTTCGATGATGCTACATGATAGGCATGTACGCACGAAATTAGCGGGCTGTATTACTGTTTAGTACGTATCTAGGTGGAAATAGAAAGGATTGGATAAAGATCGGACATTTGAAGCTCATGGGGCTCCGTTCGGATGCAAATGTCTGGTATGAGTAACGGTCTTGCTGACTGTATGTGGATCATGGTGTGCTGCGAAGAGAACACCGAGGTTCCGCCGGTTTGACCGATAGTTGGACCCGGTATCTAGAGAACAAGTTCGATAGCTGATAGACAACTTGAAGAGGGCATTAACTTCAGTTGCCAAAACTCAACACTCTTGATCATCGTGGTTTCTTTGCCCCGGCTATCACGGCAGCCGAAAGCCGGATCGGAGCCAAGCAGCTATGTCGTTGACTGCGGGTCCCGAGCGGGGCTCTCCCGGCATCCGGGAATCGGGGTTAACAAAGCCACTCCAATCGGTAACCACATGTTTATCTTTTTCCATCCATCAATATTTCCAAAGTTGGTCAATAAACCGAGCGATCAAAGTTACTAAAGCCGTGATACACCTGATTCTTATCATGCAAATCATCAATATTGTTATCACTCGGCTTACCAGGATGACGGACTCTCACATCTCGGCGGTTACTTAAAAAGACAGACATTTCCAACCAGACATATCACAACCAAAGATGACCGTAGTATAGCGCTTTTTCTCTCACACAACAGCAACAACCATCGCCATGCTACCCTCTCTCCGCGGCCCTCAAACCCTTCTGGGCAAAGTCGCCCTCTTCTCCCTCCTCTCCTCAACAACACCACCAACATCAGCCTTCAACCTTCTCCCAAACGACCTCAACCAGACCCCATTAGGTGGTGGTCCCAACAACCCCCCCTTCGACATCCGCGAAGCCACCATCTCCTCCATCCACAACGCCCTCTTCACAGGTCTAACAACCTGCCACGCCCTTATTTCTTCATACCTCGCCCGCATCGAAGCCTTCAACCCCTCCCTGCACGCCATCTTGTCACTTAACCCTCACGCGCTGGACATCGCGTCTTCCATCGACGACCAATTACTCCAACTCACATCCGGCAACTTCACCACCTTAAGCAACCAACCCCTTTTGTGCATCCCCGTTTTACTGAAAGATAATTTTGATACGGAGGAAATGCCAACAACAGCTGGCTCCCTCTCCCTCTCCCACAATTTCCCCAAAAACGACGCGCCGACAGTGGTTGCCTTGAAGCAAGCAGGCGCGATTATTCTGGGAAAGACGAATATGCATGAGTTTGCTCTTGAAGGCATATCCGTTTCTTCATTAGGTGGACAGACTAGCAACCCCTACGACCACACACGCACACCGGGTGGAAGTTCGGGAGGGACGGGGGCGGCGATAGCAGCTAATTTTGCGGTACTGGGGACGGGCACCGATACGGTTAATAGCTTGAGATCGCCGGCGAGTGCGAATAGTTTGGTTAGTTGGAGGCCTACGAGGGGATTGGTAGACCGAAAAGGGGTGGTGCCGGTTGGGTGGACGCAGGATGCTGTTGGTGGGATGGCGAGGACGGTGGAGGAGTTGCGGGTTTTGATGACTGTTATGTCTAGTGCTGGGAGTGGTGGTGATGGGGACTATAAATGGGATAATACCACGGCACTAGTACCCCCTGAGATTAAAGGGAAAGATTACAGCCAGGCATTATACTCCGGTTTAGGAAAACTGGATGGACTTAGACTGGGGGTTTTGGATGGGTTTTGGAATCATACCGCTGGCGAAGAAACTACGCCCGTCAACGAGGTTATGGAAAGGACGCTGAAAAGGTTGGAAGCAGCTGGTGTGCGACTGGTTAATATCACTGACCCCGTTTACGACGCGGTGACGATAGCGGCGAAGTTGGATGTTCAGACTTTTGAGTTTCGCGAGGGGCTGGATGATTATTTGAGGAAAACCACCTACGCTGACGAGACGGGCAACAGCACCGGCATCATCACTGACGGACCAAGAAGCTTCAGCGACATCTATACCCCCAACCAAAAATCCTTCCTCGTCCTCCCCTCCCAATACTCCTACATCCGCTCCGCCTTCAACCGCTCCACCTCCTCCCCCGAGTACTTTGTCCGCCAGCACGGCATCACGCAACTAAAAACCACCTTGGCCCAAACTTTTTCTTTTCAAAGGCTTGACGCGATAATCTACCCCGAGCAAAAAAACTTGGTAGTAAAAATCGGTTCCCCCTCGCAGAGCGGGAGGAACGGGATATTAGCTGCGCTGACGGGTAGCCCTGTTATTACGGTGCCTGTGGGATTTTCAGAGGCGAAGCAGGATGCACCAGTGGGAGTCCCCATTGGGATGGAGATTCTCGGAAGGCCGTGGACGGATGATTTGTTGTTGGGGATTGCGGAGCATGTGGGTGAGGCGTTGGGGCCTGTGAGGAGGATGCCGGTGGGACAGAAGGGATCGGGGCTGGAAGGGTTGGATAAGGTTGTAGAAGTCAAGGGGGAAGGGTATGAGACTGTGCCGGTTGTGAAGGTGGATGAGTTGGGTGGGAATATTCCTGGGATTTATCATTTGGGGGTTTACTGAACGGAGTTCATCCTTCTTCGATTACCCTGTTGAACGGGTGTACTCGGCTTTATCCCCTTGGCATGGGTTGGGCGACTCCCGAGATCATCTCTCTTTTTCTCTCTGCATTCTCTTCCCGAAGGTTTCTTCAGACATGGAAGGAAGGAAGGCAACCTCTTGGGTAACGGTTGCATCGGCACGACATACTCGCTTCCCCGTTGTCGCCATCAGATCACCATCAAGACGGTTACACGGAGCATGCGAGACCATACATATGGGTTGTTTCGATTACTACATACTATGTTTGTACTGCGTGTTCCCCGCTCGCCCGCTTGATGTTATTGGTATTGGAGGCGTTGAGTGGGATTCTATTCCGATTTGGGATCTTCTTGCGCGGGGGCGTAACGACAATATCATGCAGTCTCGTCGAAGAATGGACAAAGAGTTGGCCTTCAACCGACGAACCCAAGCTACACAGATTTTCAAGGTGTCTCTCTCCTTGATAGACGGCCCTGTCAACACATGTTGGTCAACACTCACTATGTTCAAGTTGTAGGAGCATTACCCGTACTCTAACTCCTGGGGACGACCCCTCATTGTGTTAAGGCTGATCGTATGCAAACTATCTGCAAACTCTGGGACAAAAGGATCACGAGTGTGTGTTGCAGGGCATGAGATAGTCGCCTCGCCTCGACAGAAGAGCGTTGCAGAATTGAATTGAAGGCCTTTGGCCACTGAGGTTTGTTTGTCCAGTTACACACATATACTCGGGCGGCATGATGGTTCATGAAAGATGGTGTAATTCCATCCAATATTGGAGGCGAGCTGGACATGATAATTCCGTGGGGGCTACATAGGTGTCTTTCTCTTTCCAGATATGATGTTGCTCATCTTCAAAGGCAGACACAAGCCAAAGCCATCTTCATAAATCTCGTTCGCCTCCCTTTGTTCACAGCAAGCCTCCATGCACCCGGATCCTTTTGCTTCTCAGTCTCAAGAGCCATACGCAGAGAGATCCAAAAGCGACAATGACACTAACAGAGCTTCTCCCAGAATACCTCACCTCCTCTTCTCCTACTCATCTCCTCCTCATTGCAGTCCCGCCCCTTCTGGTCCTTTATACCATCTACGTTGTCATCTACCGTCTGTATCTTGGTCCCCTAGCCAGCATCCCGGGTCCCAGACTTGCTGCCCTGACGCAATGGTACGAGTTCTACTACGACATCATCCTTCCTGGACAGTACACCTTCAAGATCTGTGAACTTCACAAAGAATATGGCCCGATTATCAGAATCAACCCATGGGAAGTCCACATTTCGGACCCGGACTTCCACAGGGAGTTGTTGCCGGCGGGCACGAATCGACGGAGGGATCGGACGCATTTCTGGTGTGATCAGTTTGGGGCACCTGGTTTGTTTTCTCTTTTTCCTTTGTCACCTATGTTCTCCTGGAGGATATTGATGTCGGTTCATGATGGGAACAGCCGCTGATTTTCAACCCGCTTGACAGGCAGTGTCGTGTCAACCGTCCCTCATGAACTCCACAAACTACGGAGATCAGCCGTCAATCATTACTTTTCGACCGCAAGTGTACGGAACTTACAGCCGGTTATCGAGGAGAGAGTCGACGCCCTGCTAGCGAGACTTCGTGAGCATGGCAAGACGAAGAAGCAGACGCCGATAGACATGCTTCACCCTTTTGCGGCTCTGGCTTACGGTATGTTGTGTACTCCAGTCGGACACAGAGCCCCTGAGGATAGAATGCACTGCTGATATCCAGTACCTTGCTAGACATCATCAACGAGTATGCCTTTGCCAAAGCTGAGCATGCGGGTTAGTACATAACTCTCCTATCTCCTCCATGTCATCAAAGACAATGACCACCACTGATACCACCCCACGACAAAATCCAGTTGAACATCCCACCTTCCGTTTCGACGTAACCGAAGGTCTCACCACGGGCGTCCAATACGGCAAACTCTTCCAACACATCCCCATCCTCCTCACCACACTCGAACGCCTCCCTCCCAAATTCCTCGCCGCCATCTCGCCTGCCTACCGCTCCTTCCTCGCAACGCGGGTCTCCATCGCCAAGCAAATCACCGACATCTCGCATAACCTCCACTCCTCCGAGTCCAGCAGCAGCAAAGGTGCCAACCACCTCGACCTCTCCCACCCTACCATCTTCCACTCCCTGCTAACCTCGGACACCCTCCCCCCTTCCGAGAAAACCCATCCCCCGCATCGCGGACGAGGGCCACGTCCTGATCCAGGCCGGGGCCGTGACCGTCGCCTGGGCCCTCGCCATCGCCACCTTCCACCTGCTTCAGCAACGCGACACCACGCTGCGCAAGCTCCAAGCCGAACTGCGCGCCGCCATCCCTGACCCGTCCGAGTCCACGCCCTTGGCGACCCTCGAACGCCTACCCTACCTCAAAGCCGTCGTAAAGGAATGTTTCCGCTTGAGTCTAGGTTCTTCCTCGCGCATCACGCGCGTAGCGCCCGACGAAGCGCTCAAGTTCACCCCGTCAAATATCTGTCTGCAAGCTTACCACCACAACAACAGTCCCGAAGAAGAAGAGGTGGTAGTAAAGAAATACAAAAAGGAATGGATCCTACCCCCCGGAACGGAAATTTCCATGACGAGCTACCAGATCAGCGCCAACGAGGAGATCTTCCCGGACGCGCGCTCGTTCAGGCCCGAGCGGTGGTTGGAAAACAAAGAGCTGGACAGGTATCTGACGAGCTTCGGGGCCGGGCCGAGGGCTTGTTTGGGGATGCAGCTGGCTTATGCAGAGATGTACTTGGCGCTGGCGAAGATGTGGAGGGTTTGGGAGGGGGGTGAGCAAGTTGGTTCTGATGGGCTTAGGCTTGGTGAGGATGATAAAGTGATGGCGGCGAGTGAAAAGGAAAAGGGAAGTGCAGGTGGTCAGTTACTGACGGTGGGTAGGATGAGGTTGGCTGAGGGAGTGACGCAGAGAGATGCGGAGCTGGGCGTGGATTGGTTCATTCCTGCGCCGTATATTGGGAGTCAGGGGGTTAGAGTCTACTTTGAGAGTCATTAGGGAGCTGGTGGGAGGGATGATCGTGGGGAAGAAACCTCGGGGAGCTGTGAACTTTCCTGGTTTTGTTCTTTCTTTTTTCTTTTTTTTCTTTTTGGTTATGTGTACAATCCAGTACTGGTTTGTTTGTTAGCTCGGGACCACCTTCCTAGGCGTTTTGTTAGCTGGTTGATTCGTTTCGTTCTAGGTAATACCAACGCGCGATCTTGAATATGTTGTTTTCGAGATCTGATATGCCAGCTTGAGTCTTGTTAATGGCTTTTCGGCCTGTACTTACCTATCGATTCATTTTGTCCTTGTGACGTTTGGACCCCCCCGTACCGAGCTAACAAATAAATCAGCATCAGATTGTGGAAAGATGAACAAACTATCTCCTGTTTTCGAAAGCTCCTTTTGTCTTGCTCGGGGCTTTGCTGCGCCGTTGTGGTGGACCTCGACCCGGAGATGGTCAGAAGCTCCGGAGCATATCCGTCCGGGAAGCGGGGGACAAGCGGGACCCGAACGACAACGACGTTCCAGATCTTTGACTTGCCGACTTATCCTTCATATGGAGAGTGGCTTCCCCGCATGATGATACCATACCGCAACTGTTCACCTTGTCCGAAGCTTTCGGGACTCAGCCGCCGTACCATTGGATTTTTGAGATTTTATTTTTCTCTAGCTTGATACGAACTTTGATCGTAATCGCGATGCGGGAAATGCGGCGATGCGACATACCAGCGGTATGGATGGACTGAAAGAAAAAAAGTGGTGGGTTGTACCCAATTAGGGCTGCGCGTAGTATCTGATTCTGATTCTGATTCTGACGGCAGACGGGCACCATGTGGAAAATGTGATGGATGTTTGATGTGTTGTAAGATCTGAAGATTCTTTAAGAGTCAAAGGATGCCCATGTTGTTAGCAGAACAGAATCATCATCCAGGTCATCTTTGGAATCATTCTTCTTCACTCAAATCTAGTACGTTGGGAGCTTGGTTGTTCTTATCTCATCAACATCAACACCATCACCAGCCAGGCCTCCATCCAAAATGCCAGCCATCCCTACCCTCAGAACAAGGAAATCACCCCCCTCTGCCTTCACGCTAAACCACATCGACCCCCGCAACCTTCACGAGCTCCGCAGTGTCGACGACATCAACACCTACCTCCCTCTCCAACTCCGCGATCCCAGCCCTCGTGGTGGTGGTGGTGGTGGTGGTGGTCACAGCTCCGGTCACTCTTCCAGTAGCAGAAGCAGTAGCAGCCACGGAAGCAGTTCCGGTTCCTCTTCATCCTCGTCATCAACCACAGTGGTCGTTGTAGGTGGTGGTCCGCGCTACTACTGTTCTGGCAATAACTTGTTGCTGCCGGTGTGGGTGATCATATTGATTGTTGTGTTGGTGTTTGAGACGATGTTGTTTTGTGTGGCGCTGGGGTGGTTTCATCGGGAGGGTATGTTTTTTTTCCTTCCTGTTTTCCGAGCATGATAGCTAACACATCTTCCCCATCAACAGCAAAAGCACAACGCAAACTCCTCTACCCCTCCAAACCGCGCCCCTCCCTCAACTACAGCCGAATCTGGCTAAACGCCTTCATCGTCGCCTCCTGGCTATGGATTCCCATCGGCCTCTTTAACCTGATCATGGAGCGCGTCATCAATCCTCGTAAGGGAGTGAAGAAGGATCGCAAGGTGTTCCGTCCTCTGGTCGACACCAACAGTCACAAGGGTTTGGAAACCACTGTCTCGAACCCCTACAAGGGCGCGGGAGTAGGTGCTGGTGCGGGACAAGACCCGGAGTTGGCGGCCGTCAAGAGGACGAATAGTGCTTATAGCAAGATTCCGTCTGAGCCGAGCGTGGAGGAGGTGAAGATGAAATATGATACGCCGGAGGATGTAAAGGTTCCTTTTTTCAAGGAGAAGAAGAAGACCTGGGCCGGGCCGGCGGTGGCGGCACCTCTCTATCCCAGCGGCGGCGCTTTTGCTGGGTATGCTCCCGCTCCTGTACCAGCTCCTATTCCGGCTACCGAAGCTCAGCAACCTCAAGGAGCAGTGGCGTCGTACTTCGCTATGAGCGGTGGTCAACAACAACCACAGGTTCAGTATCAGCAAGAACAGGAACAGGGAGCAGCGGCTTCTTACTTCGCCATGAGTGGTCAACCGCAAAGTCAGAATCTGCCTTCTACGAATCCTTGGGGGAGGCAGTAAAGAGACGAAGAGGTTGTGGGCCGAGACAGAGCAAGCAAAGAGTGGAGGAAGAATGATAGATGCAGCATGCATGCAATGATGATGATACCCACGATAGATAGAAGAGTTTGACTACAGTACATAGTAGTAATGAGTTAAGGAGTTAACGAATACTTTGGAGCGTGATTATGAACTGACCTTGCGCTTGAGTTTTGTGTTGGAGGATGTCTGCGTCAAACTTCAAAATGCGAAGGTCTCCAAATGAAGTGTAGAACATGTCTCCTTTGCTAAAGCCATAACTAACCCCTTTATACACGACTCGCTTTGGTTGGCCTCTCAGCACATCTTCCCATAAATATTCAAACACTTCCCACAACGGTCCCAGCAGAAGGGCTATACAACTTCCAAATAAGGTGTAAGATTTAAGGTGTAAGGAATATATCGCCGATACAAGTAACGTAGGAATGTATGTAAAAAGAAGCCAGGTAATTATGTGATGTGTGTCTCCAGTCAGTCTCCCTTCCCCGTATGTCTTCCACGTTCTTTCTTTCCCATATACACTCTCCTTCCCCCATGACCCCTTTTCGTATTCCCATTCATACCATTCCTGTCTTCGTCTTCGTCTTCGTCTTTATCATACTCTGCGTGACATCTCTCTTTCTTTCATTCTTGTACGTGCAAAACGATCTGAACGAAATAAGTAAGTTGTGTTCAAAGAAACAAATAGGAAAATCATTCTCCTTCTCTGACGAACCCCTCTTTACACCACCTCAATCATCCTCAAAAAACCCATCATCATCAAAATCCTCCACCGGGCTTGCATCACTGTCATACATTCCGCCCGACCTCGACATAGGAGGAGGGGCCATCATAGGGGAAGAGATATTCCTCCGATGCTGATGCTGTTGAGCAGTCTGAGTAGCAAACGAAAGCGTAGACGGATCAGGTGAAGGAGACAGGGAAGCCTCCTCGAATCCCATCTCACTCGATTCCTCCTCAGTCACCTGCTGCTGCTGCGGGAAGTGCATAGACGCTGTGGATGGGCCTCTAGACCGCTGCTGGTAGTGCTGATTCTGGCGTAATGCCCTCTTAGACAGTTCCTGGGGAGTGAACCTGCGGCCGGTGGCTGAAAAAGCAGTTGGCTGAGCTTGTTGCTGTTGCTGGGCTTGACTGGCTGTGCCCCTGATCGTGGATACAGAAGCGTTGGAAGCTTTGCGCAAACCAGCATTGGATCCAGAAGATGTCGGGGGCGTCGGGTTCCCGCCACGGAACCCAGAAGAAGCAGGCTTTGATGGCGTAACGTTACGGCTCTGCGCAGGAGACGCGGACAGGACACTGCTCAAGCTACCGAAAGCCGGCAGGTCCTTGCCCTTCCTCCAGTTACCCCAGGCGGCAGCCAGAGGACCGACAGCCTGCGCAACTCGCGGCGAGGCAGCGTCTCTAATCGTAGCAGCAATGTTGGGCAGGTTGATAGCCGAACCGCCGTTCATCGCGCGCTCACGCTCCTGCTCCTCCATCTGGAGGTTGGCCTTGAGCCTGATAGCGGCGTCGCGGACCGCGTCCTGGTCGTAGTCGTCACTGGAAAGAGCACCGATAATGTCTTGCAGATCTGAGTGGCGCACGGCAAGCAGCTCGCGGAGCCAGGTGATCTCGTCGTCCCGCTTGGAGATCTTGATGTCGGCGTCGGGGTCGACCTTCTCGAGTTGCTGCTCAAGTTCCTCGATGCGATGCTCGCGGGCTTGGAGCTGCTCCTGGAGGACCATAATGGACTCGCGGAGGGCCTGGGGCGAGATTCTCTCCGAAGGCTGGACATCGTTGGAGGCGGACTTGGAAGCAGTGTAAGTCTCCGAAGTACCGGCCACAGAAGTCTTTGCAGCTTGGGCGGCGGCACGGGCAGCTTCCTTGGCAATCTCCAACTTCTCCTCGACATGCAAGAGCTTGTCCTGGAGATGCTGGGCCTTGGAAGTCTCGATGCTCAAGCGATCCAGGAGGTTCTTCTCCGTCCGCTGAGCGTCCTCAGTGGTGTTGTTGAGTTGACGTTCATAACGGGCTTGGATATCATCTACCTCGTTCTGGTGTTTGCGCATGAGCTCATCAAGCTCCGTCTTCTTCGAGTTCTGAGCCTCCTCAAGGAGCATGTCGTGCTGCGCCTTGGCTGTGTCGGCGTCCAACTTAACCTGGTCCATCTGGGATCTGAGTCTGTTAAGCTCATCTTCAAGCTCCCTGCGGACAGCATTAACCTGGTGATTGGCCTGCTCAACCTCGGCTTGCATGGCATTGCGCGTGCGCGTAATCTCGCGAGCAGCAGTCTCCCTAGCTTCCTGGAATTCGGCCTTGAACCGCAAAGCGCTCTGCTGCAACTTGTGATTCTCGGTGCGCATATCCGCAAGCAGCTGCTCAAGTCTCTTGCACTCCGCAACAGCCCGCATGCCTTGGCGTTCGTTCATCTCGAGTCTCTCAAGCTCAGTCTCGATGCGTTCACGAGTTCTGGCCTCGGCCTGTAGCTTAGCATCCAGGACCTCCTGGCGAGCAATCAACGTCTGCTCCCTCTTGGTGCGCCTGGCATTCTCCTCGGTAATTTGGCGAACAGCGTGAGCCATTTCATCCTGAAGGGCAAGGAACTTGGTGCGCCAGCTGTCACGGACGCGCTCGTTCTCCTGAACCTGGGTACCGAGGGTATCGATCAGCTTATGCAGAGCCTTGTTCTCATCAAGGGCCTTGGAAAGGTCAGCATCACGACGCTTGGCAAGCTCGCTGACTCTATCAGCCTCAGAACGCCAGTGCCGAGCTTCTTTGCGAGCATGCTGGAGCTCATTATCCAGCATGTTGATCCGATTCTGTGCTTCGCTTCGAGACTTTTGAGTGTTCTCGGTGCCGGCTTCCAGTTGGGTCAAACGCATGGCGACCTTGTTGTTGGCGGCCTCGATTGCCTTGATCTTATGGTCCTTCTCATCCACCTCTTTCTTGAGGCGCTTCTCTTCCTCTGTGGTAAGCTTGAGCAGGCGTTCAACTTCGGCGAGCTTGTCTTCGGCAGCTCTCCGGCCCTTCTGTTCCTTATCAGCCTGTCCTTCCAACTGCTGAGAACGTTCCTCAAGGTCGGCGATCCGCTGGTGCAAGACGCTCTTGTTCATCTCTTCAACCTCAATCTTGGTTGCAGCGGACTGGAGTTCACGGGTGAGATCTGACGCACGGTCCTCGGCAGCTCGTCTGGCCGCAATCTCCGTCTCCACCTTGGCCTCCTGAGAGCGGAGTCGCTCCTCGAGCTCCAGAACACGAGCCTGAAGGCCAGTAACCTTGGCCTGCTTGGCCTCATCCACAGTAGGCTCAAGGCGGTTATCCACCACCTCTTCAACAATCTTCTTGATGTCTTCGCTGCCGATCGAGGAGGCCTTTGGCTGAGTGATTTGAGCCTTCAGCTCCTCAAGGGCCTGAAGGACGTCAGGGCGATCGCCAAGAGTCGACTTGGCAGAAGAGGAAGTTGGCCTGGTTCTCTGCTGAGAAGCGAGGGCTTCCATAACAGCAGCCTTGATTTGCTCCATCTTACGGTCCCTACGCGGGCTGATGGAACGACGAGTAGTAGGTAGATCATCATCCTCATCGTCGGCGTCGCTATCGCGGACCTCGGCAGAGGCACTGCGCACGTCTCGGCGGTTCGAAACAGCTCTCCTCGAAATAGCAGCTAGTGAGTGCTTGATCGTATCAAGAGTCTGTTCCAGTGGGCTAAGACGGCTATCCAGGATACCACCAACAACATCATTGACGTGACCATTGAAGAAAGTAACACGGGACTCCAGCTTCTCTTGCTCATCCTCAGTGAAATCACCGTTCCAGTCGCTAACTGGCACGTCTTCACTGCCGTTGAGGTTGTGGACAGGCCCCTCAATGAACTGCGCACTGGTAGGCGGATCGAGGAATGGGTCCTCCAGCTCGGTTGTAGGAGGCGGCTGTGACGGTTGAAGATACTCGCGGGGATTCGGGCTAGGACTGCGAGAGTTATCTTCATCTTGGTGGTAAGGTGGTGAGTTCGTAACTGCCTCCAAAGGAATGGGGCGAGTCGGGCTAGGCTGGTGCCACTGAGTTTGACTATCAGCGGGTTTGCTGATGCCCATATTCGGGTTAGCACTGAGGTGGCGCATGACCGCATCAATGTCGTCAAAGCTAGGTTCTGAAGCACCAGTTGCAGTGCTCTCTTCCTTCTTGGACCCTTCGCGCCTGGGCGGTGGTGGCTTAGGAGCCCAGCGAGAAGCAGCGAGCCCCTTAGTAGGCTTCGATGGCACAGTAACCACTTCAGGCTCAGCAGCGACCTTCTCGATGTGCTCTACCTCTGCAACCTCAACAACAACAGGCGTCTGCTGAGGTGGCTGTTGAGAAGAGCCAGCAGCGAGATCTGTGACTTCCGTAGGCTGAGTCGACATCCCAGGCACAAACTCCGAGGCAGCCGCAGAGAGTGATCTCTTGTGACCATGAGTAGCAGAATCGTCACTGAATGGGTTAGGATCCTTGAGCTCCGAAAGGGTCCAGTTCAAAGACATAGGATCGGCAGTCTGCTCTGACGGGCTGACGGTCGCCTGGGTATCAGTCGTCTCAGAAGCCATGGTCGAAGACAAGGTCATGTCTGGGTGACCATGAGTAGACTCGTCAAATGACTTCTCCTCAATCGGGAGGTCTTCGTCCCCGTCCTTGTCTGGCCTAGACTCGGCCACAGGGGTAGAACTATCAGCAGTTTCCGACGCCGCAGGAGCCACACTGTCAAGTTCAACATTGTGATGATCCAACTTCGAGAAGACAACACCATCAAGTTGTCCCTCCAGCTCATCCTTGTTCCCCTCTTCTTGCGCGTCTTCATCTGGGGGCAGGATCGGGACAGCCTTGCTTTCCTTAACGGGCAAGACGATCTCAGCCTTCCCCAGTTCATCAGCGCCAACAACAGAGCTCTCAGGCTTAGCATCACTTTCCGCCACGGGATCTGCGGCTGGCGTTGCAAACGTAGTAGTAGGAGTAAACGCAGGCGCATCCGGGCGGAATTTGAGGCCAAACTCGCTCTGGGTCGGAGAGAAGACGGACGCAGTGGGGTTGATAGCGCCAGTCGTGGGTGCTGAAGCAGCGAAGTGACTGGTAGCGGCAGAGAACGTGGCGACCTGGGGGGTAAACTGCGATGTGAAGGAGCTGTTGGGGTTAAACTTGAACTCGGGCGCTTCCACGTTCAACTTGGACAACGAAGACTTGCTGCCATGGCTGGCATGCTTGGGAACGGGGCCAACCGCAGGCTTTCCTGCGCTCCAGGAGCTACTAGCATTAGAAAGGGTATGTTGATGCATCATCTTCTGGAATTCGAGCGCTTGGATGGGGGTTCCTAGGTTGCTCGGATTCGTCTCGATTTCGTCGTCTTCAGCAGCCGGACCGTCAATCGGCTGCAGGGTAGGCCTAAAACCACCTCCACTATTAGAGACGTCTTCTTCGGTAAAGTACTTCTGCGACAGCGAATGTCCGCGACTATGCGGTCTAGGATGATGCAAAACAAGGCCGTCCGAAGTAGCACCAAGTTGTGGTTGCTGGGGAGCGAATTGAACTGACGAGTCTCTGGCATGGGGATTGACCAGCGGGATGGTATGTTCCTCTCTGTGCGGGCTGTAATCTTGATCGTTTTCGAGCTGCGAGCGCATCTGTTCTTCCAAATGGTATTCAGCTTCATCAATTTCCCTTTGCAAATCATCGCCTGGAATGTGATGGGGGAGGCCGACTTCGGGAGCGCGCACGGGATCTTGAGCTGGTTCTTCTTCAGCGATTTCGTGAAGATCTTGCAAGCGCGACGATGTTCGTTGGGGCGGCGCAAACTGAGGCTGGAGCTGATGCTGGAATTGCTGCTGAGGCTGATGCTGGAACATGGGTAACTGCAAAGACTGATGGCGCTGATGAGCCATATGGCCCATATGGCCCATGGGACTAAAGAGACCACCGTCCGGTGAAAATGGTGAGCTGGGAGACATCATGGCGTTGAGATTAGCAAGCGAGGGTGAACCCATGCGATGTCCATGTTGTTGCATCATCATCTGCTGAGACCAGGCGTGTGGAGACGGGATCGATATAGAAGCCCGAGGATTATACTTGGACGTAAACGAGGCAGGCGACATGCCGGCGGGGAGACCGGGGCTGGTAGGCGATGGCCCCATGCCATGGAAAGGAAAGCCCGGAAGGCTACCCCCACTGGCGGCCGAAGATGTCGGCAACGGAGGTGAGAAGGGGAGCGGGGGGTAATTGGCCACCGAAGGCTGTCGGCTCATGCTCGTGGACGGAGAAACTGAAGGTTGAGGGGGCTCGTCGTCCCCAAGGGATACTCCCAGAGCTCTAAGCTTCGCTTCGGTCAACTCGTCCACGTATCTCTTCCAAGCTAGATTGTGAATGTTAGGCAAACATTTGCATCTCAAGGTCTAGTAGGGGGGGAATCTTACCATTCAGGTCGGGAAGAAGCACTTTCCAGCTTTTCTCTTGTCTCTCCTGTACTAAATCATCGAAATCGGGCCATGGTCCTCGACTCTGCGAAGTGGATTCATCGATCGATGTCTTTCGAGGTTCCAAGTCAAAGCCGCTTATATCATGACCCTGTTGTTTCCAACTGCTCATCCTCTCCTCGACCTCGGATTTGGTGAGAGGCAGTGGAGCCTTGCCCGGCTGCCCACGCTCGTCATCCTTGGGAATAAGGATCATGACACTCTTACCCTTCCATGGGACCTTTTTCTTCATGCGAGGCGATGCGGCGAGGATAGAGGTACGTTTGGATGTGGGTTTCGAGGGGGTGGAAGGAGCCGCAGGCTCTCCTTTTAGACTATTTATGCTGGAAGCATCTTCAGGCTTTGTTGCGCTAACTGGTTGGCTTATGGAAGATCTGATGGAGGATGTTCGTTCGGGAAATGGGGAAAGCGAAGAAGCACGGTCACTCGCGGTAGTGACGTCGGGCTGCGCTGTCATTTCGATCGGAGACGCCATGTTGGATCTGCTTGCCTGTCTGCTGACCAGGCGGGACTGTCTTAGGGTATCGGTGCTCGACTGTTTCTTGAGAGCACCTTGTGATTCCTGGCGCTGTCTACTGCTTCGCCTGCTGCTTCGTCGACGATCTGCCCTGGGGGTAAGAAGGTCGTCTCCTAGCCACGCGGCGTCTTCGTCACCGGAAATGAGTCGCTCAGTGAAGAGTTCTCACTATCGCCGCTGCCGTCGCTAAGCCAATGCAGCTTCTCCCGCTCGCTACCGTGAGCTGTATGCTGACGGATCCAGTCCTCTGTGATTCCGTGTACAAGACGTCTTGCGCGATTGGCGAGGACGCTTGCGGCTCCGGTAAGGAGGGATGACCGAGACTCGGAGGGACTGTCTTGTTGGGTTGGCGGGGCGGGGCGCAGAAAGCGAGTTTGGAGCGCTAGGGAATGGATGGGATCTCCCTCAGATTCGGAGGCGTCGTCGTCGTCGTCGTCGTCGTCGTCACTGCTCGAATTCTCGGCTCGCAAGTTTGGGGGGTAAGGGGAGCCCCAGCGGGTTCCGTCGACCTCGTCTTCGTTCACGGAGATGGTGGGCGGAGTTCTCAGAATACCCTGAACCCGAAGAGGAAGTCTGGGGACAGGCAAGGGCGGAAGCTCGGGGGAAGCTTCGCCTTCGGCGGTGGAGGCGCTCGACAGGGCAGGAGAGGTGGGCGATTCAGATCGGTGTCGGAAGTAGTTTTTGATACCGTCCTGCGCAAAGGCAGCAGGAGGAGGGGTTCGCGGTGACGATTTTAGGGAAGACGTCTTTGGAATACCTTGGGAGTAGAAGGTTCAAGGTTAGTTAGGAACCAGGATGCGAAGGCGGTGGAAGAGTTGGAGCATGTGAATCACTACCAAGTCAGGTTGGTTGGCGAGGAGTGGGAGGGAGTTTCAGAGTTCAGGACAGAGCTCCGAAGTCATGTATGTTTGGACTATGGAGACAGTGACGGGGTGAACGGGGGAATAGGGACGGGGTGACGGGCTCGAGTCGGGAGCTACAAAAAGTGGATGTATGGATTTAAGCTCACCTGGACGAGATCAGCGCGCAGACGAAGCCGGAGCTCTGTCTGCCACCGATGCTCGATTTATTTTTGGTTTTGTTGTCAGCACCACAGGCTCGTGATGTTGATGTCCCCTTTTCGTTTCCTTCGTTACCACTGTCCCACGCGGTAACGGTATAGCTGAGTTGTTGTCGACAAATGGCGAAGCGTAGAGAATAAAAAGATGGGGTACCAGAAGGAGCCGAAGGGGGGGGGGCAATTAGGAAGCTTAGAGGTAGTAAGACTTGAGAGAAAAATAAAAAGTCGGTAACGAATTAACTACGGGGTCGACCGAAAGTCAACAAATGAGCGAAGAGAAGAAGGGGAGAAGGCAAAACGGTTCTGGAGTTCCGGACGCATCGAGGGGCTCAGTCTGTTGTTGCTGGTCTCTTTTTTCTCTTTTCTTTCACCGCTGCGAATTGGTGTTGTAATAGGGAAGGAAGACTAGAAGGGGAGGTGTAGCCTTTTCTTTTCTGAAACACTCTTGGACCAGCAAAGAACGCGCAAAGTATCGGAGCCGTGAATGGAGGGTTCGTCGACGCGTCTTCCACCACTGGGCTGCGAGGTTTCCGTTTCCGACACAGGGTGTGCAGAGAGTGGTGGTGGTAGGAGGACGGGTTGGGTGAACCGAGAACCAAGAAGCGGGACGGAATTGATGGAGGTTGAAAGGTTGACTTCTCTCAGGTGGTGATCGGTTGGTGTGGTTCGTTGTAGAGACGGAGATAGAGGTAATGCTCCCGTGCTGCTGCAGCTGCAGGTGATAATGGTGACCGTACTGTGAGATAGAGGTTGGGACCTGTTAACCTGACGCGTACTTTCTGTCACTAACAGAAGTGGAAGTTGCCTCTGTCGCCAAACATTTATTTTTCCCCGACCGCCTGGCTGGGGTTGTGTTCGCTACGTTCTCGTCTCTTTCGTTCGTTCTCGCCGGTGATCACCACCCGCCCGTCTTGTCTCTCGTCCCTTTTGCTCAGCTTCACGCTCGCCGAGTCCCATCATGGTTCCGCATGGTCCCTGACCGGCCCACATTGTCCACCCGAATGCTGTCGTGCGATTTGATAGATGGGCGGTACAAAGCGGGGGAAACGGGGTTTTTGTGTCCACCCCGCCAAGCCCGCCTTGCCGCACAGCGAACCCTTCGCAACCCTTCGGCTGCTTCGACCGCATAGACCAAAAACCCTTGTCTCTTGGTAGCCGCCAAGTACCTCTTAACTTTCAATGACTGTGCTACAGTATCACAAGGTTGGTTTAGACTCTGCGGCATGGAACATTTCCATTTCTCCTCCCGTTCCATCCTTCGCTTGGTTCAACTCCCGTAGCCGTCACCTGTCTCTGTTTGTTTCCACTTGCCTTCTCCCGATTGGTGTTCAGAACACCAGATCGTTGAGTTGTCGGATTACACTGCAGCAGCAAAACACCCACGATGAGGCTCTGTTCAAGCTGAAACCCTTTTCTACAAAACATTGTCCATTCAGGAACACATGCCGCAAAAAAAGGGGCAAGCCACGGGCAACAACGGGTTCTCCTCAAGTTAAAAAAGGGGGGCCAAACTGCCTGCATCACCATTGCATGGCTACACCACACGTGCTGGCATCAACCCGGATCAGATGGCATCACACACCACCGAGGGCCCACCAACTGGCAAAAGTCCATCAGGGCCATGCAGCGATACCCAAGGTAGCCAGAATGGCTGGAAAAAGAAAGGGACAAATGACCGCCCGGTCCCCAAAATCTGGTTCGCATGTGGAGTGCTGGAACTGGTTGGATTTGTGCATACATATCCTGAAGCACTGAAGAGGGCACTTTCGTGGGGTGAGGCTCAGAGGGGCTGCGTTAAAAACAACACTTCAATGTGTTGATGTTTCAGGTCTACGAGTGTCCAAGGTCAGCCATTGGCTTTTTTGGTCTTTTGTGTTTCAAGTGGAACTGAAAAAGAATGGTCATTGTCTCTGACGTTGAAGATTGCCCTCACCGCGGCATCATCCGGATCTCCAGAGCGGGAAACCCGATCGTTCGTCGAGCAAGGAACGGACGACAAGGCAAAGGCACGGGGCTACCCGCTCGCTGGCCGCAGCCTGCAGTTTGCTGATACCACTGACGCAGTGACGCCGCAGTGCCTATCAAGGTTCTTGCGACTGCCAAAACATCTTGGTCTCAGGTTTGTACGCAGTACATTTCCTCACAGCCACGCAAACACACTCATACCGTCGACAATGAGCCTGAGCCCAAAGGACGACCCATGATGAAACGAACAATTTGAACAACTCAGGCCGGATGGCTCACCCGGGCTCTTCCAGTTCGAACATGATTCGTTGACCAACTGAGAGAAAGAAATCACGATTCCCAATGCCCAATGTTGCCCATAATCCTCAACACCAAACGCCCATCATCATATCATCACCAGCCCAAAAGGAACTCATGGATGAAACCACACCCTACACGTCACAGAAAATATCATGCGTCGCGTTTGAGACAACCAGCGTCGGTGCTGGTTTGTCCGCAAAGCTCGTCTCCGTGGCCGATTGTGCAGAGTTCATACATCGTTCTAAAGAGCCATATGTTAACAGAAATGAAGAGAGAAGAGCCTGAAAGTCCGAGAGCCCAAAACACTCTCTCTTCACTTTTCAAGAGAACCTCAAAAAAGACTTTCGAGTATTACTCACCTCTCTGCTTATCACAATCACTAACCCGAAAGCTAGTCTTCCTGCTCGCATCATTCGCCATATCCGCGCACGCATTCTTCTGGTTGTCGCAGACTCTGTTGGCTGCTGTTGAAAAGTCGGGCTGACAACAACACACATCTTATCAGCATAACTTCACGTGCAAGTGTAAAGCCAATGTTCTACTCGCCCGAAGCAGAAGTAAGGGGGCAAGCGTCACAAAAAAAGCCGGGGAAGAAAAAACGAGAAAAAAAGAAAAGGAAAGAAGACTAACAAATGTATCACCACCAACTTCAAACGATCTTTTAGCATCCCCGGAAAAGACTATCGGCTGTGGCGACTGCCCGCCAAGGAAGTTGGCCGTGAAGAAAGGTTGGAGCTCTTGGCCTGTTGAGATTTGTCGCGGGAGGTTGTTGTTGAAGGCGAAGTTGAGCTCGTTGTGCACTTGAAGAGAAGGGGCTTCGAGGCTGGGTGGTGGTAAGTCGGGTGCACCTGAGTCTGGGGAAGCTGAGGCTGTCAAGACGCTGGCTAGGAAGAGGATGGTTCGGAGGGCGGCGGTGGTGTTCATCTTGGTAGGTCGGTTCTTCAAGTTGGACTCGGACTCGGACTTGGATTTTGGACTCGGAGTTATGGTCGGTCGGTGCTGAGGTTGGTGAGCTGGTCTTTCGCCTGGGTGAATTGACTTGTAATCTCGTGGTCTCGTTGCTACCAGAATGATGGACGAAGGGTGATTGACCAACGAGTCAATGTCGATAGCTTCCTCCAAGAAAGTCCGGCTTTGTCGTCGCCACAGCTCAATTGAGCCGTTCGTCTAGATAATTATTATTTTTCTTAAAAGAAAAAGCCAACCAGAATTACATCCGCGAACACTTGCAAGAGGAAGAAAAGGAAGATTCGACATTTTAGATGCAAACCGCCTCTTCAGCCAAGTCGGTCAATGGTCAAGGCTGAAACGATCTTGAGACGAGGGTGATGTTGATCGTTGCAACGGTACGCAACCTCCGTTCTCTTTACCCCGACCCAGACCCAGCTACCAACAACACGTCACATGAACCGAGCTACGAATGTATGAGAAACAAAAACTACTATCGTCTTCAAGACTAATGGGCGAAGAGGTTCGAACTTCGGATACCCGAGGATCTACGTTGCTATCTCCCAGGCATGTCGATATTAAAGAACACTCGAGTGACGAACACCTTTTCGCCATTGTCACCTATCAACCAATACCTGTGCGCAAGGTAGCATCAGGATGACTTGAATGAATATTTGATTGTTGGTGCAATACTATTCTTGAACTTTCCATGCCTTGCTCCGCTCTGCTTCGTGACTCCCGTTGCCTTTTCATCTTATCCATCAGCAACCGGCCACCTCGACCGAGGACTAGAACTAGTTGGAGACATGAGAGGACCTAGGTAGAGAAAGCTCTTCGAATACAACCAGGGACGCTCTCTCTTCCTCCTCTGGTTAGTTTTCAGTGACTAGAATCCGTTGGCGTACGACCCATTAAATGACTTGAAATTCTTTCTACCAAGGGTACCGGTACCCATCTTCGAGTTCTGTTGTCACCAATGGTTGGTTTCCAGCATCTCTTGCGTCTATGTCCTCCATGTCCCAATGTTTCATTTGCGGTTGGCATAGGCTTGAATGGAACGAAACCGGTCTACGTGAGAGAACTTCTTTCAGAAAAGGTACGGAACGCAACCTTTCCCGAACCATCAAACCTTCCTTCTAGAAGCATGTTCCTCATGGTAACGGACCAATTCTCCAAACCTCAAAGCATGTTGTCAACACGCCAGTCACACGTGAAAAGAAAAAATAAACGCCAAAGTTGTCAAAGAACCAGTATGCATAACCCAACGACCTACCGCACTCGCAGGTCAACCTCAATCCCGTCTACCTACCGACCCGTTGTTGTTGGCCGTCGATCCTTTCTTTGTTCTGTTGCCTGCCAGTTTGTCCAGTTAGTAATCTCATACGGACACAGTTGAGTGCCTGATCGTCAGGAACTATTCTATTCCATTGGTCCGAAACCTTGCAAGATAAAGAGAAACCGGAGAGACTTCTCTTTTGTGAGCCCTTTGTCTTTGTCTCCATGCTTCTGGTCTTTGTCTTTGTTATTGATCATGATGTTGTGCTTTTCTGACCTCCAATTTTTCAATTTTTCTAAGTTTTTTTTTTTTTTGGGGGGATATTTGGGGAGTTGGGCTTGTGGTAGATAGTTTGTTGGCGATGACCGCTTAACAACTGCTTGGGTAGTTAGTAAACGATGCCCGAGACCAACGACCCGAAGCACAGTCCTTTGTTCGTGGGTTGTGGCCATTAGGTAGCTGCTGTCAGTTTCTTGGGTACATGCGTACTACTCTTGACATGTACTTCCTGTCGAATATATGTGGCTGAGGATGCTGATGATGGACAAAGGAGAAAACCCGAGGAAGCGTTTCTTCTCACGGAGACAAAGTAAGCACTGGCTCTCAGGACATGTAGATGGTCCAGTTGGCTATGGAATCACCGACCAGAGAAGGTTATTTTAACGACATTCTTCACGGGAAACTGGAGTATGTTTGAACGGTTATATGATCTGGAATCTCTTTCTTTCCTTCCTTACTTCTATCTATCCATTCCATCTCCCTGCTGGCGTGCGCCGCCTCTGGCTTTTCCACCCTTTAAAATTCATTATCCTTTCGTGATGTGAGGGAATGTAGTGTGTGTGTGTGTATATGTAAGGAACGTAGTCTGTATGAAGTTTGTGTATCTTCGTTCTCCCTCAAATGCATACAAAATGCTCTTCCCACAAATGCCGGTAAAATACCAACACATATATGAACTCCCAGGGTCAAAACCAAGCCGAGCCGAGCCAGAAAGAAAAATGTAAATGCGATAACATTGACAGATGTTTGATGAAACATAGTTAAAAGAATTTTGTGTGAAAAATGCAGGCTACTGTGGCTGATGACAGGCAACCCATGCGACGGCGGCAACGGCGACGACGGTGGTTGAAATATGCGGAGGGGGGTATCTCGATCGCGGATGGCTGGTACGCTTCAAAACGAAATGAAACAATGCAAAAGCTTCATATTTCTTTGGTTGAAAATTATCGACAAGAAATATTAGAAGTTTGACGCCTGGTTCACATGCGTCGGCGCATGGTAGCTCTCCAGCGTGCTCTGGAAGGGCGTACGCCCGGCCATCGATCCTCCAACCTCCGGCTTGCCAGCATCGTTGTACTCCATCAGATTGTCGGCCTCATCGGACTGTCTCTTGCGGCCCCAGATCCTCCAGGCGACGATACCCAAGCCGGCCAGGACGATAGCACCGCCGACACCGACGACGACGCCAATAACGGTATTGCGGGTCTTGACCGACATGCCGCCGCCGGACTTGTCGCCGTCCTTGTCGCCGTCGTTCTCGGAAGCAAAGCCGGGAGGTGGGGTCGAGGTGGTGAGGGCTTCGGTCGTCACGGTCGTCGCGACACCCTGCTCGTCGATGGTGGTAATGATTTGGGTGACGGTCTTGATGATGGGCTTGACAGACGAGCTGGACTTGGGTTCTTCATCGTCATCGTTGTTGGATGAACCACCACTTCCGCCAGCCGAAGATGAAGGTGTTGGTGATGGTCCCTTGGTAGAAGATACAACGTCGCCGTTAGGGTTCGCCGTCGTTACTGGAGGCTGGTTGTTGTTGGTGGGTTTTGAAGTTGTCGTTACCGGGGCAGGTGATGATGATGATGTGGTAACGACAACCGGCGGCGAGGCAGGCTTGGACGTGGTACTGGGCTCGGCTGGAGGGTCAACGCTTGATGTCGTCACAGGAGCCTTTGTTGACGTTGTCTCTGGAATCGGTAGCTTGACCGAGGTTTCAATGTCGACGTCGGCTGAGGAGCTCTCGTCGTCTGCCCTCTGCGCTAGGGCACCGAGGTTCTTGTGGTGAGGGACATTGACGCCGATACGGATGTAGGAGGCCTCGGCGACGCTTAGGGCCGAAAGGCCGACGAGAAGTAGGCGACTGAGCTGCATGATGATGACACTGATGTGAAGTGTTTGGTGTGGTGTTGATGGTTGATGGCTGATGGTATGGGAATCGTTGAACCCTTAAGGGGAAGGGTTATTACACCGGCTTGACCTCTGTAGAGTCTGGCTCGGTGAGGCCCAGGTGTGCGCTTGGTGACGATCGGCTTGGTTTTAGCGCAGGCTAATTAGCTTGGGCGCGGCGGATGTCGACCAGTTAACTAAACGAAGGCGGTTGCTCTCAGTGTCGTCGGGTGTCGAGACTGGAAGTGGAAGTGTGGATGGGGGGTTTAAGATGAAGAGCAGGCGAAATCGAACGAGGGAAATGCGCGCGGTTGGTGAAACGGTTGTATGGGTTAGGTTCCCTTCAATTTGTTTCTCTTTCAGTTGGAAAGATAATATCAAAGTGTAATAATGACAATGGGGAGCGAGGGGAAGGGGGGAAATGGGAAAACGGGTGGGAAATGGGAAACGAGAGACTAGAAATGGTGGAAGGGTGGGTGGGACGGCTACTCTAGAATGATGAACGAGTGAAAAAAGAGCGTGATCTCTGCATTTGCAATGAAGCATTCAGGTCACGGAGACCGGGAAAGAGACGAGACGAGTAGACGACGGGGACAACACACCTTCCTCGCTGCGACGAACCTCGAAAGGAACGGAGGGTCGGGTACAAAGGAAGTGGGTACGGTGGGGACCGCGCGGTAGGGCACTGTGGGTTTCGATATCCACTGGCCCAGGCACCCTGCAAAATGCAAACACCAGACGCCCAAAGATGGGATGACAGGCACTGTCAGAAGTGCCGACAGGCTGGCGACAACCGGCAAGATCTGCCAACTGGCCCCGGGGGCCTCGTATTGCGGCCTGGGCGTGCCGGGACAGGGCTTAATTTGGCGCACACCCGCTGACCCCGATTCGAGATGGAACGAACCATTGGCATAGCGGTCTCCGGCGGGCCGGCACAGGTGTGGACACATTCACCCATTTTGCTCACGGACCCTTTGTGTTGGTGGACCCGTGCCTGAGTTCTGAGTCTGCAAGATTTTATAAATAAAAACTCCGACTCCAGCTGTGGAATGTCTTGTGTGCCGACTGATTGACGATGACGGCGTCTATGTACCAAGTTGAGGAAAGTCGCGGGTGACGCTCTTCACCTTCGAAGGCTTTAATCGGGTTTGAATTGAACAAGCCGGTCCATGTGTTCTGGTCTCTTTTTTACAAGGCGCCACCATGTTTGGGAAGGCGAGATGAACCACTGAATCAAGTGGGATTGATGGCGGATGCCGTGCCTGCGCCTGCCTGTGCTCTGTGCGTCTCCATGCATCTGCGTTGAACAATGCGACGAACGGAATGCGCTACCCAGAGAAATGACGTGCATAACTTGGATATCAAAACCTGCACAACCATCATTCCGACACCATCTTTTGCTCTTGTTATCCCACCATCATCGCGACCACTTGCCCATTTGGCAGACTATTACGACCGGAAATTGTTGAGTGCATAGAGCATGGTCCGCGGAGGAACCTCAAGGCATCCATTTTAACTCAGTGAGCACAGGCACTCGCAGGGCAGGTGACACCGGGAGATCTTGAGGGACTCCATCGCCAAGACTATTGCTGAACCTGAGAAGAACCAACGTTGCCAAGTCCAAACCCTGAAAATTAGCCAAGAGGGTTTCTGCAATCTCGAGGAATGAAATGCGCTCCGACACTCAACAATTCGGCACCACCCGAACCATCCTCTGCCTCAGCATCATCCATCATCTCGTCTCCTCTCCAATGAAACAAACCATCAACGTTCCCCAGATTGCAAAGTGTCATGAGGGTTTGCTAGCGACCGGAAAACACTTTCGCCAAGATCGCGCTGGTGGTGGTCCGCTGATGATCGGGGACAACAGACGAGCGAGGAGCGAGCTATTGAAGCCACCAAGTGGAGGACCTGAATGGCACTGAATCGCGTTGAAGGGCAAGGCATTCTGAAGTCTGAGGGACCCGATGTAACCTTGACCTCAATCCGCCTGTCGTCTCGATGCTGGGAGATAATCTCGCCACAACCAACCAAACCGATCTCCCTTCCAAGTTCTGGTGCAACCTCCAAGGCAAGATCCAGAACTTCTCCCCTGGGCGTCTACGATGGTTACACGTACATACACTACATGCGTACCAAAGTCTGGTGAGCTTTGCAGCAAAACATGTTAAGGCAGGGTGAGGTAACATGCCATCATCACCCCTTTCTGAGCCTCTCAGCCACCACCCACCAAGCATGCCAGAACTTGGAAACACTATGCGACAATACATTGTTACGAAACCTGGAATGCCTTCAAAACCCGAGATCTTCATCGGATCTTCCGTTGACGCGTATATGGACAAGATGGTATTCTCTCAATCGGTTTCGAGAATGCGCAAACGAACCATTCAACTTCCGCCCTCGTGTTACTCCCAGGGATTCGCCCGTTTATCCCTCCCCACTTTGGCGTTTCAACACCAAAGTGCGTTCCCGACGATGAAACATTGAAACATGATGACCATGGCCATTTTTTGACGAAAGAATGGTTGAATTCCAGTGTCGTCATACGTGGTACCGCGCCTATCGTGAAGATCACTTGTCTCAGGCCACTGCTTCTACCCGCGTCTACATGTTGTGGAAGGAGATATTGGAGAACAAGAAACAGGATGTTTGGGATTGACAGCAGTCACCATTGTCCGAGTTGATGCATTCTTGCACTACAAACAAGCGGCCTCAGGTCTCGATACTATGAACTCTCCATTCTCGCCTCATTGTGGGACGGATTACCCAAAAGAATTGAAGGTAAAAAGGCATGCATCCTCCTAGGTTGCCAGCTTGAGAGGTCTCTACCGGGCTCCGGTATGTGCAACAGGATCAAAGAGACATACAGGACAATCAGCCCTGTTGTCAAGAGCTACATTGAAGTATTCGCGGATATTCAATCGTGGCAGTCACGATCTGGGAGCGATTAGTCCCTGCCTTGAGTTTGGAGCATAGCGAGATTCGATAGCCGATTCCCCAAACCTTACCTAAGCAGGAGCAAATTAACAATTTTACACTCAAGGAACCCGGAAAGACAGCAACTTCACGAGCTTTCCTGCAGCGACGTGTCTACGTCAACTAAGTTATGCCTCGCTTTCCCATTCTATTCGAGGGATCTTGTGAGAAGGTGCGAACGACACCGACAAAGAATCGATCGGGCTCAAGTAAAGGAGGTAGTTATGTAATCGGTCCTCATTGCCGTAAACAACGCAAACCCCACGAATTGCATCGAAAAAGCAGCACGAGAAGGAAGCCACCATCCAACATTATCTCCAAGTCTGTCTTTTTGGGGCTCATCTTCAGAACGGTGGTCGCGATTTGGCGGAGTGTCCCCCTAGGATCTTGCTGTGAGCAGACGGCATGCATCCCATCGTGCCTGGCTCCGGACGGACACCAAGAACGCGGTAACCACGTCTTGCGCTCTTTCGGTTCGACACTCAACTGGAATCAATTGCTCTAGGCAGGTATCTCTGTGCAGAAAGCCTCTGTCAATGCGTTTCGCCGCTTCCGTCCCAAATCCGCACATTACACTTGCCAAAACCACCAGCACTCGCCATGATGCTCGGATGTTACCGGTGATGCATAGCTTTGCATAAGCAGGTGGACCTTGCTACCCACTGGCAAGTTGTGCTTGCCGGTTAGAAGTGTCTCGATCACGACAAGAACTTCCGTTGCTACATGTGTATGTCTGATGGCCAAGACAGGTCTTTGATGACCCAAAAAATAGGAGATACAATACCTCGGATGTTGTCTGAAGGATGCAGTGCTTTCCAGTGCATCAAGCATCTCATGCATTGCATCTTTCGGAAGTCCGTCGAGGACAAAATCCTGCATTGCAGAATTACGCAATCCCCTCCTTCCTCTCGGTCTGTGAGTCAGTCTGGCAAAGCTCTCGTTATAAAGATTTCGACCCGTGGGAAAGAACTCTCTTACCTCTAAATTTCCTCATTCTCGCTGCTTTTCGTTGGGTTTTGCCTTTGACCTTCGAAACACACCTTGATATATACGAATCATGAGCGACCAAGAGACGTCTACCTCGAAATCCAGTGAACAGTCCGACTTGGCTATTGTCAACCCGTGTCCAGCCGCCCCAGAGGACGAGTGGGTCCGGACTGAAAAAGGGGCCGCGAAGGCTGCGAAGAAGACTCGCAAGCTTGTTGACTGAAGTTACTGGAGAGCTACCGGACGGTTCACGTGATACCCAAAAGCTGTTGAGAACCACTCAGATAACGATGAGAATTGCCAGACTCGAATTGCGTCTTGCCAAAGCAGATATGCAACATGCCTTCCTGTTCAGACAATCAACTTCCATACTTTCGTGAGAGTGTTTGAAAGAACGTGAAAGGACGCCAAGCTACGGTGGGCCTCTGCCACCCTTCATTTGGAACAGCTCTCGTCAGTTACAGATGGAGGAAAGCTTGGTTGCAAAGCTTCCCGGAAACGACGACCACGGAGTCGACATCAGCTACGTGGTCCATGCCATGTTTGAGGACCAGGAAGGACCGGATAGGAAAAATAAGCGTGCCAATTGGTCGCTTACCAAGGCACAAAACTACTACGATGGAGCACACATACCGGAATGGGACAAAAGCGGTAAAACACTCGAAACTTGGTGTCACATCCGTGGGTCCCATATGAGTGACGGCGAGGTGGCGCATATCGTGCCGTATTCTCTTGATGATGGAGCCACCCCGGAGTATTTCTTTGGTGATATGGCGCACTAAGTGGACAGCCCAGCGAGCTCGTTGCTACTTTACTCCGACCTTAAGAGGTGCTTCGACGAGTACCGGTTTGTTATCGTCCCAGTCAACCCGTCCGAATCACCCGTCACTAGGTGGAAAGTTGATATCATATCATCCGATATCAAAGATGAGGTGCAATGGATTGAAAGGTTTGATGGAAGGGAACTCAAGTTCCGGAACGGCAACCGCCCAAATGCTAGGTTTCTGTCTTTTCGGTTCATGCCCATCCTAATTCGTACCAGGGATATAAAAATGGCAGGGTGGAGAGTGTCTGGGCTCGCTATAGGACCACCGATCCCTTTGGTACACTTGGGCGGTATTGCAGGGACGGCATGCTGATGGCCTTGGCTGCCTCCAGCAAATTGTCGGATTCTGGGGAGATTGAAGTCTTTCTGGCAGAAATTTGCGGACCGGAAACAATACCGCGGACAGTTATTTCGGAGGATGTTGTCAACGATATGAGGAAGGAGATGGAAGTAATCATGAAATGTCTTGAGGCTGCAGAGAACAAGGAGACTGGTGGGTGGGTGAGTTGATCCTGAGAATTGGGATTGCGGTGACGAGACAGACTGAGGTGCGACGCGGACCGCGACGAGGACAGCTACGAGTACGTCTCTACATGGGGACCATAGCGCGCCGAGGGGTTATGAGGGAGTGATGATCCTCGGGATTTTCTCGTGACTGTCAAAATACATTTCAAGACGACTTTGGCATGGAAGAGATCCATCCATACATCAATATGAGACGGCAATACTACTTTCAGGAAGGCCATGAAATCCGTTTCAGACGCAACTGATATACTCAAATAAAGTCACATTATTTTTGGATCCGTGCTCAGTCGCCGCAAACAGACGACATCACCTCACTGCAGGGGTGAAAACTCGAATTGCTTATTTACCAAACAATACTGGCGAGGGAAAGGGGTCACAACGGAAGCCACCCATCTGCTCCTTCCAAGTCCGACCACCGAAACATCTGCAGCACCGTACGCAGGCACTCCCAAACTGCGTCAGAAAGGGAAAGAAGACGTCCTCACATTCGAATGCTCCTTCCATTCCCTCCACCTCTGCATGTTAAGGGAAGTGTTCCTCATCCCACTGATGCCAGTCACGTGTCCGTCTTGGACTTGTTAAATGAATGCTTCAAGCTTCCTCTCTTCCCTTGCACGCAACAACAATTTTTGGCCTTTTGGTAATAGGACTTCATTCCATCATTCCATCATTCATCACCCATCTTTTTGGCTACATCAGTCGTTACTTGTCCACCATCATCGGCATCATCAAGCCAGGCATCAAGTCCCCCGCCTCTTACTGTTTCCGGTTTTTTTTTTTTTTTTTTTTTTTTTTTTTGCTGTCGACATCATCACCGCCCCTCTTCTACCATAACAACACTACATCTTTGTCGGCACAATGGCTGAGGGTTGGGAAGTCTATAGTGGAGAATACATGGGAGTGTTGTACCCGCAATACCCGACAGGACCATGGAAAATTCCTCTGATTCTCCTCCTTGGCATCCTCACGATAATCGGTTGCGCCGTGTTGCTCTCTTAGGTATACAGCAAGTGCAAGGAATGGAATTGGACAGAAATAGATGGCATCTGCGCAATGATAGCCGGTATTTGGGGAAAGAGAGCTGGAGATTCCGCGGACAAGTAAGTCGATTTCTTGCGGGTAAACTGCGATTACCTATCACTTCTCAATGTGACAAACCACGGCTAACCAAAAACACTTGTCCAGCGACAACGAAATTGAGCTGCAAAACCTGCCACCGAACGAAGACGAGAACGGACACATGGGTACCGGAGATCTAAGTGACAGAGATACGCCGAACGGAGACGCCATCCCAAGCGGGTGGGGTCCACTCGACGCATAAAACATCCGGTGGTGAATCCGGCAAACTGGGACCGATCCGGGGAACGGACATCGGTGGCCCACCAGCCCACTGATCAGCGGTCTGGACAAGAGCCGCACGGATTGTCCGCAAGCGTTGCCATTCTGGGGAGCCTGCCGGCTGGGCACAGCTAGGCCGCTGGGGAATCAAACACCGCTGCCGAAGCCCAAATGTTGATCCCTTCCACAATTCTCGGCTGTCAAAGGATCGCGTCAAAAAGAAAGTCCGGATTCACACGTGCGACTGGGCCGCACAACATGCATGGGGCACAGAAACCCCAACCTTATCCATGCATGATATCCCGCGACCGCTATGAAGAGAAGACGCCTCGCAGAAACCTGGAGAACATATATCACGGAATCGAAGCAAGCGCACAACATTTGTTATGATTTACGTTGCGTGGGACATCGACGGACGCCTCTTATCGCCGGAAGTTTGGTCCCGAGCATTGTGGCTTTTTACTGTGTACAGCGGACGGGATGGTAAAGGGGTATCCACTGATGAAAATAGGGGACCCGGTAGTGGGGGATTGGTTCAATTTCCGGTTTTCCGTGGTTGACATCGGGCAAACACAAGACGCCATTTCGGCGAGCCAGTTTGGGGCAGACCGATCTCAATGACCAGGTGTCAGCCAGCCAGCAATCCTTCGCTCCCACAAACACACGATGTGCGGTAAGCATGAACAACGACGCCGGCGCCAGCATCAGGCTATCAAACCCGCGGAAAGCCATGAAGATGTCCAGGAGAGTTGAAAGCGCGTTCGGACCAATGGCGGGCCTGGAAGCATCTTGTTCTTGAATCCCAAGGCCCGAGAAGGCTAGACCAGCACGCGGACTGGGGTTTGATGGCACCCAAAATCACCAACTGCAGTCTTGGCAGGGGTATCCTACCTTGAGCCTACCATCGAATGCAACCTTTTTCATTGGAAAGGGAAGGCCGCCAGGGGTTTTCAGACTCTTCCATCCGAGCTATTGAATCTGTCATCCGCTTAGCAAATTTCTGAGCACAGCGCTAGAAGCCCAGGCAGCACACCCACCAGGCTAAAAAAGCGGTCCAAGAGATTGCAGCGAGAGAGGAGACAGACACAGGAGAAAATGAGGATGAGAGGAGGAATCACACCAGGCAAGCTGTACATCCTCGGTCCTCACTCAAGCCATTGTGCCTCTGCTGCCTTTACGAGCTGGCTGGCCTGACTGTCGACGGCCAATTGGCATTATGTCCCAAGCGTCTTCATGTTTTTTTTTTTTTTTTGTGTGTAAGTAGGTATAGGCAAGCAGCGAACATCGATTCTATTATGCACAGAGTTCCCTCACTGTGCCGCATCACAGATCTTTATTTCCGTAGCCATCTTCGAGCTGGAAACGCCCCGGTTTTCTGAAGAGCACTGACGGAAGACATGCACGGTTCTGTCCCCAGACCCCAGAAAATCATGCCAGATGATGCATTGGCGAGGGGTCATCCAATGGGAAAGATGATTCTGAATCCCACTTTGAACAAATATCATCGTGGTTAATTTCCACCTGCATCCTGACAGCCCAACTGCACAGTTGTAACCTGGCCAAACTGGCTTACCGGAACGCTGACCCAGCTTAGGCGCTTGGCCGGACCAGGGCATGGCTCATCTCGTCACAAAGTCCAGGATTCAGCGAGCTAGACTCTTCGTGGACACTCGGAACGCTAGCCCTCACCAACCGTGCAAGATCGGAAGCAGTATGAAAGGTAAGCTTGCCCACCCATCCGGCTCTTGGATCTTCTTCTTTTTCCCCTCCTCACGTCCCTTTTGGTCCCTGTTCAGTCCATCACCAAACGGCGTGCTTTCAGCCGTGCAAGCCTTGTGTTTGCGTCCTCTCTTTGAGATCATATCACCACATTCACTCTTTAGGCCCCGGCCATTACTACTCACCTATCCCTTCTTTGCGGGTATAGTCATTCTTTTTCAAAACACAAAAGCTAATCACTTAATATCATCATGCACAAAAGTATTGTGGCAGCGGCCGTCTTGGCTGCTACCGCCCAGGCTGCCACCGCCGTCTCGGAGCCCAAGGTCAACGTTTACTGGGGACAGAAGGGAGCCACCAGGCTCAGGGACCACTGCGACCAAGCGAACTTCGACTATGTTACTATCGGCTTCGTCAACAACTCTCCCGAGCAGGACAAGTCCGGCCTGAACTACCCCGGCACCAACTTCGGCAACCACTGCGATGCCATCTACTACACCAACTCCAAGACCAGCCTGGCGTCTCCTCTGCTCAGCAAGTGTACCGTCATGGCGGCGGATATTCAGTACTGCCAGGAGAAGGGCAAGAAGGTTCTGCTTTCCATCGGTGGTGCTTCGGTCACGGGATCGAACTATGCTCTGTCTAGCAACACCAAGGGCGAGGAGTTTGCCACTTTCTTGTGGAAGTCTTTTGGTCCCTACGATTCCAAGTACACGGGACCCCGTCCTTTCGACTACGCTGGTAACCACGTCTCGGTTGATGGTTTCGATTTGGATATCGAGGTCAAGTTCAGCTCAGGTATGTCGTCTAGAGCTTTAAGAGAAAGTGAACACCGGCTAACTCACTGTAGCCGGCCAAGCTGCCTATGTTGCCTTGGCCAAGAAGCTTCGCCAGTACTATAACAACGACAGCAGATACCTCCTCACCGCCGCTCCCGAATGCCCTCTTGATACTGCCAACTTCAAGATGAAGGACATCATTGCCGGTGCCCAGTTTGATGCCCTCTTCATCCAGTACTACAACAACCCTGGCTGCGCTGCTGCCTCTGCGACTGGTGGCTTGAACACTGGCTTCAACTATTTGGCTTGGGAAGCTGCAATTGCCTCCGGCAAGAGCAAGAACGCCAAGCTCTTCATTGGTCTTCCTGGCTCTTCTGAGGCCGCTGGCTCTGGCTACCTCGAGCCTGTCAAGGCTGCCTCTCTTATCAGCTCGTACAAGACCCGCGCCTCTTTCGGTGGTGCCATGATCTGGGATGTCTACTACGGCCAGAAGGCGACCAACGGAAAGACCTTTGTTGATGCCATCAACACCGCCTGCAAGGGTGCCAAGGCCTCCCCTACTACCACTGCTGCTCCGGCTCCCACTGCCATCGGTTGCACCGCCTACCACACCGTCGCTCCTGGCGAGTTCTGCTATCTGATTGCCCAGAACAATGGCCTCTCTGTTTCTGATCTCCTCAGGTTCAACCCCAAGTTGGATTCGGCCTGCGCACTTGAGGTCGGCCAGGTGTTGTGCATCAAGCAGGGTGTTATTACTATTACCAGCTCCAGCTCCAGCTCTGCCGTCATCACCAGCTCTAGCACCTCCAGCTCCAGCTCCGTCTCCAGCTCGTCGGTTGAGTCTACCACCTCTACCAGCTCTGTGGCTCCTTCCAGCACCGAGGCCGTCTCCAGCACTACTTCCGAGTCCGAGACTGTCACCTCCTCTGCGACCGTTTCCGAGTCTGCCTCCGTCATCATTAGCGAGTCTGCTTCCTCTACCATCACCTCCGCCCCGGTTGTGATCTCCAGCAGCGCTATCAGCTCCGAGGTTCCTTCCTCCACTGAGGATGACACCTGTGAAGATGAGACCACCACCTCTTCCGAGATCGTCTCTTCCACCGAGGCCCCTGTTATCTCTGCTACCGAGTCTGCTTCCGTTACCGAGTCTGCTACTGAGTCCGCTATCGTTTCCGAGACTGCTTCCGCTACTGAGTCTGCCTCCGTCACCGAGTCCGCTTCCATCACCGAGTCCAGCCTGATCAGCATCAGCTTCAGCACCGAGGTCCCCACCACCACCGATGATGCCTGCGAGGATGAGACCACCACCTCCGAGGTCCCCTCCGCCACCGAGGGTCCTTCCGATGGCTCCTCCACCACTGTTGATCCTTCCATCATCACCTCTGCCCCCGTCGTTATCCCCAGCGGCAGCGGCAGCTCCGAGATCATCAGCAGCACCACCACTGAGGACGACACCTGCGAGGATGAGACTACCACCGAGGCCCCCGTTGGTTCCGCTACTGAGTCTGCTATCGTCTCTTCCACTGAGGCTCCTGTTGTCTCTGCTACCGAGTCTGCTGTTCCCTCTGACATTGTCAGCGAGAGCATCCTTCCTTCTGGCATCCTCCCCAGCGGCATCATCCCCTCCGGTGTCATTCCCAGCGGTGTCATTCCCTCCGGCATTGTCAGCGAGAGCATCATCCCCAGCGGTGTTGTTCCCTCCGGTGTCATTCCCTCCGGTGTCATTCCCTCCGGCGTTGTTCCCTCCGGTATTGTCTCCAGCATCATCTCCGAGATTACTGCTGGCCCTACCGATGGCAGCCCCATCTCCTCTGCTCCTGGCGCCGGTGTCACTTCCGCCCCCGCTGAGGAGTGGACCACCTCGACCATCTACACCACCACCGTCTCTACCATCACCAGCTGCGCTCCTGAGGTGACCGNCCCCTGTCACCGCCATCGAGACCTCCGCCAACGCTCCCACCGGCATCATCACCTCCTCGATCCCCATCGAGTCCATCCCCGCTGGCTTCACCACCTCGACTATCTACACCACCACCACATCCACCATCACCAGCTGCGCCCCTACCGTGACCAACTGCCCCGGCAAGATTGGCCAGGTCACCACCATTGTCGTGCCTATCGGTGTTACTGTCTGCCCCATCACCGAGGCCTTCCCTCCCGCCACCTCGGTCCCCGCTGCTCCCTCCGCTGGTGTCCCCGGTGCCCCTGGTGCTCCCGCCATCTCTGCTCCCGCTGTTCCCTCCGGCGGTGCTGGTGTCTCCGTCCCCTCCGGTGGTGCCCCCGGCGTTCCTGAGGTTGACACCACCTCCACGACCTCCGTCACTTCCGTGCACTTCACCACCGTCACCGTTGCCAAGCCCACCGCTTCCGCTCCCGGTGCTCCTGGTGCCCCTGGTGCCCCTGGCGCCGGCGTTCCTGCCCAGTCGTCCGTCGTGGCCTTCCCTTCCGAGGTCCCCTCCGGCGGCAACCCTGTTCCCCCCGTCGTCAACGCCCCTGCCGTCCCCAGCGGCACTGCCCCCGCTGGCACCGGCGTCTCGGCTGCTCCTTCCAGCGTTCCCTCCACCTACAGCATGCCTGCGCCTCCCGCTCAGACCGAGCCCGTCACTGGCTCTGAGCCCTCGGAGGTCCCCGTCACTGCTGGTGCCGGACGCAACGTTGTTGCTTTCGGTGTCCCTGCTTTGATGGCCGCTTTGGTTCTTGCTTTGTAAATTTTTGAAATGCATTTGGGAGGAATGTTGAATGGAGGATGAGACTTGAAAAAGGATGAAGAAGAAACTTTTTGGACATGCATGATTTACATTAGCTTTTTTGGACATACTGGACATTACATAAAGACCTTTTTTTACATAGTGTACATCAAATGGCTGTTTGTACCTAGTGCATCTGCATCTGCATCATCTCTTCTTGTCTCATGTCCATCTTTCATGTTCATGTCCATGTCCATACCAATGGGTTTTTTCAATCTGTATGCATTCATCTTGGAAGATGAAAGGGAAGAAAAGCGAGCGAGCGAGCGAGCGAACATGTATCTGAATTTTTTTCATTTTTTTTTCATTTTTCTATTTGTTGTTTATTCCCTAGAGTTAAGACTTCTCTTCTTCTTGTTTCTTGTTTTTTCTTTGTATATATTTTTGGATGAAATAAGATATGATGAGTATATTCTACGGTTTCTGCCGTTGTGAACGTGTCGCAATCTACTTTGTGAAGCCTGTTCGTGAAAAGGGGTTTACTTACAGTCGAGCTGGTTAAAGACCTCCCGGCTATTCGTCCACTTCGTTATCTCTCTTCGCCATCTCCCTTCACGATGTGATCTATTAGTCAAACATTAAATAATACTCATTCCACAGTGCCGTCGGTTTGCTTCGAACCCGATCAGTGGCAAACAGTGTCTATCTCAGTATTATCAGCAAGATATAAACATGACAAACACCACAAAGTAATAACAAAGAAGGACAGATAAAAGAGACGAAAAAACTAGAAGTCAGGCTTACTCAACCGTAGAGTTAAGTTACCAGTTACACCAACTTCCTATTCACCTGCCTACCTTCCCTACAAATCAGATTGCTTACTTCCTTACTTGCTTACCTACATGTACCATGCCTACCGTGCCTTCCGTACCTGCCTACCCGCCCGCCTAGGTTATGTACCTTACCCATTCCCGTTCCGCCGAACACTAGCATCGTACGATTTCCCTACCAGATCTCGATCGAAGTTACTGACGGCCTGACGTGACTACTGCTTGGCTCGAACGAGAAATCATTAGATATTGGATGTTCCTGGAATCTACCTATGCTTCCCGTCATTTCCTTTCTCCCATCACCCGGATTTGTAGGGATGCAGGTGGGCTCATATCTCTGGCGTTTAGTATCGCGGTCTGCAGATGGTTGGTGGGTAGGGGGTAGTGGGTAATGGGTAGTGGGTGGTTGGATAGTGGTAGCAAGCGAATGGGTCAGGGAAGTTGTTGACTGCATCCCGAGCGGCCATGGTTGTTTCGATGTGACTTGGGGGTTGAGTTGTTGTAGGTCCTTTGGACTTTGCTCCCTATGAACATATCTACTTTACGTACCCAGGTAGGTAGAGGTAGTTGTTTGGCTCGAGAGTAAAAGCTGCTCTCTCTCTCGCGCATATTTTAGGTATGTATTCTTCGGAAAAAGCAAGAAGAGAGGTAACCTTATGAAACCAGTCGATATTTATATGCCACACCTGCAAGACCTGCACTGAATGCCAGCTTCGGCAATATCATGCCATGTGGATGTCATGGTCACGCCATGCCATGCTAGGTCCATGTTTATGCCACGCATTCTAGGTAAGGTACCTTGGCGTGGTAAGGCGTATCCGGGTGTTTGGGTTATGGTTGTGTCAACAATAAATTTGTTGCGTGGTTATGAGACATGCATACCTATATCTCCATGCCCTCTCTAACGTACACACGCATTCGGATAGGTAACTTCTGGATATGGTTTGTAGGTACGTACAGAAGGGCTGAAGGGCTGAACTCACTTACTCACTCTCTCACTTGTAGAGTTTTATTGGGGTTTATTTTTATTTTTTTGCTGCCCATTTCGTCCATTTCCCTTCCAATTCAATGTCTTAGTCAGTTCAGTCCCTTAAACTTTCAAAGTGATTTCAAAGCGATTACTGTATCTCGTGGGCGGCCCATAGTGTCTGAGGTGTGTGTGTGTAGTGCTGCGTACCTCTAGTGAAAAGGAAGAAGAATAAAGAAAATGTGGCGCTTCCGCTTGGCGTCTATAATCGTACCATGTGCATGTCTCAACTTTTCCTTTTCGGTTGCAGTCCCAGCTCCCAGCTCCCAGGTCCGTGGGGATGGATGGATGGCATGTAGGGAGAGCATCAGTCGCCAGTCGGCTAGCTGCCTTTTACTGGGCTGTTTCTGTTCCTGTTCCTGTCCCTGTTCTCGCTTTTCCTGTTCGGTGATCGTTTATCACGTGCAATGTAGGTACATTCCAAAAGTAGAAACCTACCTAACTCGGGTCAAAGGCCCGGCCGGACGGGCTAGATTCAAGCCACAATGTCTTGTCTCTGTCTCTCTCGCTTGGCTTCTTTTAGGTAGCACCGTTCTTTCGGAACCGCGTGGGTTGAGTTGTTGAGGGGACGTTACACACTACCTAGAGGTATGTACCTACAAAGTAGGTATGCATGCATGTCTGTGTGTCTTTGGTCCATGTTGACATTCGAACTTGGACTTGACCTTGATTTTTTCCATCCGCGATCCGCGATCCGCGATCCGATTCAGTCACTCGAGACCCCTTCGGACCACCGCAGCGGACGCGGAGAGCGGACCAGAAATGAGAGGAGGGAGAGATGCAGTGCTCTTCTAAAGTATGTGTGTGTATCAGACAACCAGATTTATGGATCTGATCTGGGATTTGATTTGGGATTTAGGATTTGCCAAGCAGCGTCAATGTGGGATATGCAGGTAATGTAATAACTTTCCGAACGACTGGCACAAAGCGCGAAGCGAAGCGAAGCAAACCCAGGCAGCCAGATTGGTAGGCAGGTACCTCTAGGCAGGAATAAGGAAATGTGGGATAGGTACCTGCCTACCGGGATTTCATTCTCCAGATTTGCGACCAGTTCAGTCAGATGTACTGCTTGTTAGCGAGGGAGAATGAAAGCTGGAAGTACTTACCTAGGTATGTATGCCGGGTAGGTATGGAATGCATGCATGTATGTATGTCTCTCCTTTCCCTCGTGAGCGTGAGCGGGAAAGTCAGTTCTTGTGTAACGGTCTAGAACAGTTCCTTACCTCTCTCTCTCTCTTCAATGTATCCAGTCCTCACTCTCCGCATTCCCACCTCAATATTTTAGTCTTAGATACGTAGTCCAGGATATGTAGTGAAACGGCCAGACAGAGCAGAGCAGAGCAAAGCTGCGACAGCCCAGTCGGCCTTCCTGAACCCAAACAGTACCTATTCTTGGGAAGGGTCCAGAATGAGCTGAGTGTCAGTGAGCAAGTTTTTATTAACACTACCTACCAGACTATACTACACTACACACTATTCAGATATCTGTACTGTGTGAGCTCTGCCCCCATCACAGGACACTTCTTGACACTGTGCAGCACAGCGAGCCCAAACAGTCGGGAGGCTAGACTGGACTAGTACTAACCTACGGGTTGGAGAGACCGAAAGAAAGAAAGTCACTACCGAATTAGACTAAAACTTCGGTCAGTCCGTTCGGGGAGAAAGATGCTAAAAAGGGGGCGTTGCGTGTTCGTGAAGGGAGAGACCCTGAGACCGAGTTCGAGATGTCAAGGGAGAGCGATAGTAGTGTAGCTTTTTTTTATGTGTTGTACATTGGTAGCTGAACTGAACTGAATGAACACAGATAAAAAGCACGTGTGAAGGTCGTGTACATGGAGTGAATGGTGGACGGACAGGGAGATTATAAAAAAAGAAAGGAAAAGCTTCTAGAAGGGTTTGATAAGAATGAATGTCTTACAAAGAGGAGTCCTGCCGGTGAGATTTCATTTGCTGGTTTTTCTTTTTTGCCTTTGTACATTTTGTGAACGATGAAGACTTTCACCATCGCAGCAGTATGTAGTGTACTGTTACGTTACCATTGTGTAGTGTGGTGGAGAGGGCAAGAAAAGAAAGAGTCTGCAACATCAGTTTTGTCCGTCCGGGGCTCAACTTCCCCTTTTCTTGCTTTCCCTCTTCAAGATCATCGGGCCCGGATCTTGCGTGCCGGTGCACGACACACTTGCCCAGTACACCTACCCGACAAGGCCCGAGGATGAGCAGTGGTTGGGTACGTAGTATAGGTGGCACGTAAAACGGGGACATCCCGGCGGTACGGGTGAAACACGGCTTTTAATGCTGGCGAATGTAGTAGTGGGACGGATGATGATAATTGTTTCGGCACCGAGTGGTGCTTTTTTTTTTTTTCGCACAGGAATTCTCCAAATAGAAGAACCTTCTTCACCTTCCATCTTGTGACACTGATGAGTTTTGGATGCCCCAATGACAGAGTAACAGTAAAAAAGTGTCCGAGTGTACGTGATTCAGATCAAACATGTATGGACACCCTGAGAGAGGCCACAACGGCGAGTGGCATTTGGGCGCGCACAAGTCAATGGTGTCTGGGGATCGGCCACTCGGCGATGGACTGGAGGATTCCCGGCTCTCACCCTGCCTGTTCTGTGCTTGGCTGGGCATCCACCAGGCGTCGTGCTAGGTAACGATCAGGTAAAAAAACGTGCTTTGGCGATGGTAACATCCACACTAACGCCAGCACTCGTCAGATGCCAACTCACTCCAGGAGGCATGTATGTAACACGTCTGTCTTGCTTGCTTGCGCAGTGGCTGGAGCTAGAGAAGGAGTCAGTGAAAAGTTCTCCGTCGGGTTCACAGGCAGACGAGGCAGGGTAAGGGGAATCATTTGGGCTCGAACCAGTTGTCAAGTAGTAAAAAGTGAGTTGTAGCAGACTTTTCATCGGGACCAACGGCAATTTCCCGAAAGGACGTCCTCGAGTTTCTCTACACGCGTAGCTAGCAGGGTATAAATGCACCTCAGACTCTTTGTGACGAGGAATGGGGTCTCCGTCTGCCAACTCTGTGTGACTGTGATTTTGAACTCCAGGCGTTCTGGCTACCAAACCATGACATTGTATGTCGTTGGAACTTTCTTTGTCTGCACACGCTCGCCTCACACAAGTATTGGTAGCAGGACTTGGGTATAGTTCATG